AAGCCTAACAATAACACCACAAATGTTAGCACGGGGAATTTAGGGGGAACAACCATTGTAGTCGATCCGAACAAAGACTTACCGGAACCAAACGACGATGAACGTAAGAGGCAGGCATCAGAGACGGCACAAACTCCGCCACGTACGAAAAAGCAAAACCAGGAAGAGACGCCAGTAGCGCACCATCCTCGTACTCGCACCGACAGCAATCGCACCGACAGCCATCGTCCTGGTAGCCCGAAACCAAATCCCGTACCATTTGAGCCCAGAGCCGTAAACGGTGGTACTGCGGTTCGCCGTAGTCCCCGTGCTGCGGCTCGCCGTCGCCGTTCATCGCGGGAGTATTTACAAGCGTTGGTTGGACACGTTGATTTAGAAAAGGACGAGCTCGGCGCTGACGACTCTCCGGCCAAAGATAACGTCTCACAGCTTGAAGATACCGTCTCACAGCTCGACGATGACGAATCCATGGCAAAAGATGGCGGCTTCGTACCCAAAGAAGATGACGACTCCGTGCCCAAAGATGACGACTCGGTGCCCGAAATAATTCCTGGTCCGTCAGCTTCCAAAGACGACGACTCGTTTCTTGATGACCAGTCATTCTGTCACAGTCAGGTTCCCTCGGTTGGCTCCGTTGCCGCTGCCTACCGTAAGACTCAGCCGCATTCTCCTCCAAGGATTGGTCCGGAGAGGCTCGAAATGGAGAAGTTTCGGATCGTCTTCAAACCGTTGCCGAATCAATCCGTCAAAGAATGTTTGGAGGAGCGTGTCCAGAAGCTGCGAACTGCTATTGACGACTGGAGGGAGATGCCGTCAATCCTTGTTGGTACGGACCAGGAATTCGAAGAACTCTCCATTAGTGCAAGACAATCCATCACAAACAAAGCAATCTTCCTATGCAGAGCTTACGAAGTGGCTCTTGACGCCATTCCCCGGTACGACTGGACTTGGGAAAACAGCATCAATCTTGCCATCAAGGCTTGCCGAAACGGCGGAAATCGCGCATACAACCATTGGAGAGTTGTGTACGAAATCCAACGGTACTTCAGGCGACACGACGGTTTCATGCCTCCGCGAAGAACAAATGGCAAAGGAAGTGTTGAGTTTTTCAGTGTGTTCCCAGAAGCCCCCATTATGCTGTATCGTCATTGCAAGAAGAATCTGGAAAAACTCACCTGCGAGTTTGCCCAGCGGTACCTGATTGACACCGTAGTCCCTCACTGCTTGGAGAAGTGTAATCACGAGCTTGCTCTCTCTGGCATCAACCCACTCAACAAGGATCAGTTCCTCGCCATGGTTCGTCTCAAGTCGATCTCTGTCTCCACTGCATGGCTCCTGGGATTTGAGTACCGTGAGAACACCAAGACGTATTACACCGACAGTCATGAGCGTCCTGACAACGTGGCTTACCGCAAGAAATTCATCAAACGGTACTTTGAACTCGAAGATCGCTGTTATCGCTGGGCGCAGGTGCCCGCAACTGCTGGAAGCCGAAGGATTCCTGGCGGCGGACTCGAAACACTACAAGACATACGAGATCGAAGAAGATTACGAAAAAGCTGAGATACGTGAATATCACATTGACGCCAACCATGAAAAACTCCTTCAATTCGTACCTGAGGAGCAGCGCAAGTTTGGTGGAGGACTCAAGCGTGACTTTGACTCCACACAGCGTCCAGTCATCATCATTGGACAAGACGAGTCTGTATTCATGCAGTTCATCGTTTCGAAGAAAGCTTGGAGCGTTGACGGTGAGCAAATTCTCCGAAAGAAGAACGACGGCCAAGGTCTTCACGTGAGCGCCTTCGTCTCGGATGCTTTCGGAATGGATCCAGATATTTCGGAGTGGCTTGAAGAAATCAATGAGAGGCGTAAAGGAACGGAATATATCTCCAAGGAAGCGGCCACAATTGAGCTTGGAAATCCGTCCAAGCGGCCAATTACCAAAGAGGCAGCCGAAGAAATGTGCAAATCCCCGTTCATGCGTTGTATCCAAATCGGCCAAGGACACGACGGTTACTGGAATGGCAACCGAATGAAGATTCAGTTCGAAGACGCCGTTAACTGTGTCAAGGTGATGTTCCCAGGTCATGATTTCGTCTTCCTGTTTGACCAAAGCAGCGGCCATACAAAGAAGATCGACGGAGGCTTGGACGTCAACTGTATGCTTAGAGATCATGGGAGCAAGACGCAGATGCGGCCAACCACACTTGGCGAGGGATGTATTGGATCATTCGGGCCATCACTGTATGAAGTGGGAAATGAACAAGAGCTCATGTGGGAATCCGACGAAACCAAGTTGAAGCCGGACGACGGCCCTTGGTACCTCACCCCCGAAGAACGGATGGCCCAGCGGTATCATGTCCTCTACGAAGACAAGGTCAAGCCAAAGACTGCCGCACAACTTCGTAAGGAAATTGCAGCTCACCGCAAAGTCGATTCCAAGACGCTTGATAAGGGAAGGGGCTGTTTGAAGAAACTTCAAGCTGAAGCCGAAAAGGATGGGATTCCTTTTAATAGTTTCGTCAAATCCACCAAGAGCGTCCCAAAGACTGTCAAAGAAATGAGGGCAGAATACCAAGCTGCCGGTAAAGAGTTGCCGCAAGGCAATCTCACAAAGAGCGCTTTGCAAGAGCGCCTGGCGGAGGCGGGACTTGACATTTACAAGGAAGAGCCCCGAATCAAGACTTCTGGATGGGTTGGTCGGGCGAAGGGGCTCAGTCAGGTCCTCTGGGAATTGGGATGGATCAGCGAAGAGGACCACGCTGACAACAAATATCACAAAGAACCGGCCAAGGCCGACTTGGATGAGGATGGCAACATCAAGGAAGGACATGAACGGTGGATCTTGTCACGGCTCATGGCAAATCGTCCTGACTTTGCCAGTGAAATGACCGATCTGGAACACCTTGCGAAAGAGCTCTCAGACGGCAACTGCACTGTCACCGTTGTCTTCACGCCAAAGTACCATCCAAACATTGCCGGTGAAGGAGTCGAAGACACTTGTGACTTCTCCAAAAGATACATTCGTCGCATGCCAATGCACCGCCGGATCAACTTCAAGAGTTTCATCGCAGTCGCCAACGAGGCTCTCCGCATGAATGATGCTGCAAGAACCATGCGTTTCCGCCGCAAGTGCAGGAAGTACATGCTTGGATATCGGTCGATCAACAACGAAGTCATGCATGTGCCGGAAGAAGGAAGCGTAATGTCCTTCAAGGATCAGCTTGACAAATACGCCAAGGAGTATTACAAGCCCACCGAAGCTCAGATCAAACAACACGACTTGAATATCACCAAGCGCACACGCAGAAAGAAGCCACAGATTGGTCCCAGTGTCACTCGTCGCAATTTCAAGACAACTGCGGAATGGGAGATTGTTGAAGCCTATTGGTTGGGCTATGATCGAATCAAGCAAGCAGAGGCACGCCAACAAAAGACTGTTCAAGACCGGTTGGAAGTATCTAGGACGGAAGAAGTGGACATGGTTTCCATTCTGAAGGAGAGACTTGTCCACAGATCAAACTTGGATACAGGCTTGGGCTCCATTGAAAATGAGTTGGAGATCTGTCTGGCCAGGAAGGCTGTTGTGGAAGAGGATGATGTTGCTGATACTGAGGATACCACTCCTTTCTTTGGTTGGGATGAAGAAGGAGGAGAGGGCGAACAAGAATAGATAATACATAGTAGTAGCCAGTCAATAAGTCTTCTTGTCGCGTCGTTGAAACCAGCCAGTCATCGCGTCAAACGGAAGCTCCGTGGAAGAGCTAGTCACCAGTCATCGATCGACTCGTCGTCTCGTTTGATCCGTCGTTTCGTGCCATTGTCGAGGTGTTGCATTAACTGTAGTCGCTTGTTGTTGCGGTAGAGGCGTCATGGTCGCTCCGTTCGCTCGCTCCGGTGTCATGATCGCTCCGTTCGCTCGTGAAAGAGGCGTCATGGTCGCTCCGTGGAAGAAGAAGTCATCCGTCGAACGGAGGATCGAACGACCGAACGACCGAACGACTGATTGCCGAACGGCTGCCACTGCGACTTAGCAAACAAGAGGTGCCTGTCATGGTGGAGACGTCTATAAGAGGAGTAGCCGCTATAGAGGAGTAGCATCATCTTGATAGAGTCGAGTCAATAGAGAGTAAAGATAGAGGTATCGAAATAATAAAAAAGAAGAGGTGTACGAGTGGCTTGGATCGATCCGAGTGATGTCAGTTGAGATTAAAGTTAAGGCTATATGTCCCTTAAGTCTTTTCGCGGAACGTTCCAGGACGTTCCGGGTCGCGTACCGGCAGCCGGCTTGCGTTTGCGTCAATAGCCTCGATACAGCCTGTACCTACCAGGTACGACTGTACCAGTATGCATCAATGTGGTTCCTATGCATCTGCAAGTTTGCTACAATCTCCCAACAGGAAGGGGTCTAGCTAGCTAGAGTAAGTAAACTGTTGAAAGCTAAGCAAAAGATGGTGAATTATATAGAGCATAGCTGTGTAATTCATTTGTTGAAGGCATAAGAAACTTCAATAATTTTTAAAAATAGCAGGTGATTTGATCCCAAATGTGATTGATAGTCTGGATGAATCATTCAATGCGAGCTTTTAATCCTTAGTAAAGTTGAGAAGTTCCAACAACTTGAGCATCTGTGGGAACCGCAGCAGTAACAAGGACACATTCGGCAATGTAGTGACGCTCAATATTTCCTATCAATCAAACACCACCGGCAGGAAACTTGTAAAGAGCCATCCTGTTGTTGGCGTGGAGATCGTGTACCAGGTATCACTGCCCCAACAAACCAAGTTGTTGGCCTGCCGTTGCGCAAAGCTTGAAACAAATTCGATGAGTGGGACGTCTGTGAGGCAATTTCATAGGTACCACACGTAATTTGAACTAAAAGTATAATATCATGTAGTCAGTGGGATTCGAACCCACGCCAACGAAGACTAGAGCCTAAATCTAGCGCCTTAGACCACTCGGCCATGACTACGCTTCCCTTTCTGAGAGAGGGAGGTCCCAGGAGTGGTGCCTTCGTGTCCTGCATCCAAATCGGCTGCATGAGGTAGGTGATCGCGGATGCGACCGTTGCGGCGGTCTCCCAATGCATGCAATGCATGCTAGCATGATGTATTGGAAGAGCTGTGGGAAGTGAACAAGATTGGCGATGATCATCAATAGAGAACAACTTCAAACTCGGGCACCATCGCCTCACATCTTTACAACAGAAGCAACCCAGAAGAAGCGTCAAGACTTAAGTTCTAGCAAATGATGGAAGGCGAGAAAAAGAGTCATGGAAAAGCGGAGCAGAGTCGGTGGGGGACAGTTGAAGGAGAACGCCAGCACAACGGTTGAAGAAGAAGTTGCTGCAAGGATGGAGGATGATAATGGGATATCCAAACCAACGCCGTCTCCCCGTGTTGTAGAGGAGGCGAAAGGAGACGTACACGACGACGGTCCAAGAGAAGTTCCTGATCAGTCCACACATGGGGCCTTTTCTGTAGGTTCCAACGTCGACGGCGCCACAACGGCAAAGCTACAACGAGGTCTACATCAAGATCGTCCTCAGACGACCATCGCAGAGAAGGAGGCCCGATTACTGCCACACCCCAGGCAAACATATCAGTACTTGAATTCGTCGACGGCAAGTCCAACCAAGAAAACAAAAACTCCCAAGGGGCTGAGAAAGGAACCACCAAGATCATCCACCTTAGCTTGTGCCACCACGTTGCCAAGTGTGGGTTATAAGGGCCTAAGACAGCCTCGTGCACCAACTGACAAGTTTGATGCATCGAATTCGTTGGCAAGCAATGCCGTGGCAACAGAAGAAGATGAGGTGCATGTGACTCCAAACACTATGGGAGGGAGTGGAGGTGACAACGGCAGTCCAACACTAGTTGTGGACCCAGACGACCCAGAAGGAGGAGGCAACGACGAGAACATCACCGGTTTCATGGCAACGGCACATTTAGTAGAAGAAGTGGAGCAGCAGCAGCAGGGAAGTGCACCCATTGAAGCTCGACCGATTCGTCGTTGGGACTACCTGCGCAATCGAACAGTGCTAACGGTCATCACATTCTTGATCGTGGCAATGGTGGCAGTGGTGATCGCTCTCGTCGTGGTCAGGCAAAGCCGAAACCTGGATCTGGTAATTTCTGGACTCCCTGACTACACAATCGACTCGCTGCGCGATCCAGCATCTCACCAAGGCCAAGCGCACGAGTGGTTGAAAGGACATCCAGATATCGAGAATATGCCCGAGTGGCGCAAGATCCAGTTATTCTCCATGGCAGTATTCTTCTACGCAACTAAAGGCCAGCACTGGCGACGAAAGGAAAATTGGCTCAGCTACGACGCTCACGAATGTAGATGGCAGCAATATTACCCGGAAAATCAATTTAGCCTATCAAATTGCAACGATGAAGGGGCTCTTCAGAGGCTCCACTTGGACTACTGGAACCTGAAAGGGACGATTCCAAGGGAACTTTCTTTGCTGGGATCCTTGAAGATTATTTACCTCCACGAAAATAGATTGTTTTCAAGCATACCATCCGACATTGGACGTATTTCCTCCCTGCTGGGCTTGGCACTCCAAAACAATGAACTCTCAGGCTCCATTCCAACAGAGATTGGCTCCCTACCGCAGCTCCTTTATCTCCGAATGGAGAAGAATCAGCTTTCGGGAACTCTGCCAAGAAACATAGGAAGTCTCTCACATTTGCAGCTTCTCCAAATCAGTGACAATTTACTGGGAGGCAATATTCCTTCTCATCTTCAACACCTTACTTCACTGGAAACATTATTGTTGAATGACAACATACTTTCTGGACCGCTTCCCACCGAGCTCGGTTTGCTCAGAGCAATCACCGAACTAGACTTGAGTGGAAATCTACTTGGGTCTACTATCTTTACAGAGCTAGGAGGGTTGCAAAGGCTTACAGATTTGGACCTATCCAGCACGTTACTCAATGGTACACTGCCCAGTGAGATTGGCAAATTGTCATGGCTGGTACAGCTGGACCTCACCGGCAACAATCACTTGACTGGAACTTTGCCCGAACAGATAGGAATGTTGGCAAGGCTGAGATCCTTCAACCTCAGCAACCACGGTTTCACTGGAAGTATTCCTTCCACTATCGGCCTGTTGTCAAGGGTCTCCAGTTTGGATTTGAGCAGCAACAGGTTTTCAGGTTCTTTGCCATCGGAGATTGGCAGAGTTGGCATATTCGATAGGGGTTTGTTTTACTTGTTATTGGGCGGCAACTCTTTGGTCAACCGCATCCCATCGGAGCTGGGGAAGTTGACTGACTTACACACACTGGAACTTTCTTGGAACAACTTCTCTAAGAATATTCCACATGAAATTGGCGCCCTTACAGGGCTCAAGTCGTTGGATCTCCAAGACCACAGCTTGACGGGTCGAATCCCTTCCACCATTGGACTATGTGAATCACTGGAGGATCTGATTCTTACGGGTAATTCGCTCGCTGGGCCACTCCCAAGTGAATTAGGTGTCTTGGGGAAGATGCGTACGCTGTATCTAAGCCGAAATCGCAACTTATCCGGGACGGTCCCGACAGAGCTCAACCAAGCAGCCAACTTGCGTCACATCAGTCTTCACGACACTCAGCTATCCGGCACTATTCCGTTTTGCCCTTCGCGACGACGCCTGGCGACTGCCTCTGAGTCGCTGCCTGAATACCCTGATGACGATGGGTTGCATTACGTTGTTCTCCCCGAATTGCCCTACCTCTATGCTTTTGTGCAAGTTGACTGTCAAAGGGTGTCCTGCAACTGCTCCTCTTGTTTTTGCGTACCCGATTCAGGCTTCTAGGCTCACAACAAGATGAGTAACAGTCCACGAGTGTACCTTTCCATCGAGGCTACCGTTACACAAAGAAAGTTTTCTTTGCAGAGCATCTTCTGAGTGTCAGTCCACGCGTCTACACGAGCCACACGTGCTGTTTGCTCAAGTGAAATGCAAGCTTCCGCGGCTTTGCCGCAGTTATTTGTCACGGAAGTCGAATAATCCAGAAATATCAAATGCAGCTTCAGAACCACTAGTAGCTAGCTAGCTTTAACTATTACCTTGGCCCTGCCAGTGAGACCGGCAAGAAGGGCAGGGTTTGTAAAGCTAGATGTGACAGGCAACAATCACTTGCATGGCGAATTGCCTGGCAGCTCGGATCTGGCTAGCTCCACCGCCACCATACTTAGTTGAACATAGCAACGAGAAGTTATTGACGGACCAACATCCGCGTAGTACTGATTCACCTGGCAATGACGTCTAACGGTTTGTCTATATTAATAGTATATTTTTATGTCTTCTGGTTTGTTTCTCGTTCGGCGAGATTTCTTGGTGCTCTATCTTCAGCAATGCTGTATATGAAAGTATGAATGTCATCCTTTGGTGATTTAGCGGGAGCTGGTTGCCTCTTGATTCATCGCACAGCAGACTTCCTATTGGTCAGAGAAAGTCTCCATTCGGTCCAATGATCGGGCATAGACCAGGTCCAACATCTCAGATCGGTATGCTCCGATGGTCTCGTCGCTTCCAAAGGCGGGAACATCGACAGCTTTTGGTTTGTTGATCAAGGACTCGTCATTGGCTTGTACTGTGTTGGAAAGGAACGTGGCCTTGGTGGCTTGCTTCTCGACCAATGCTGGCACTCGTTGGCGCATGCTCTTCATAGCTGCCACTGGGTTCACAATCGGTCGCATGATAAATGTCACAAAGGCGAGTGACTCGGCACTGACAAAGAAGGTGGCAAAAAGAAGAACGATCAGTTTCATCATCATCATGGTTGGCAGAAGGTGTTTAGTTGATTGATTAGTTGTGGTTTTGGTTGTCTCTGTTGAGGTTTGTGAGCCCCAACAACTTGAAAGAAATTTCAAACGGAGTAGCGAAGTTTTTTGATGTTTTGAACTTTTTTGAAGGTGGCCGGTTTATTTTGTGAGCAGGGTTGATCTTGGGTTGTCATTGTTGTCAATGCCAGTCTTTGTTCTCTGGTTCGGCTCCTGTTAAATCTTGAATGACTCCTATCCGTTTCACTTAAACCCTCAATGCCTGGATTCGAGAACTGCACCCGACAGGGGTTCCGACTTTGACATCCTGGATGGACGTGGCACTGAATCTTTGATGATGGCCTTCTAAAGGCCACACCGTCGACCAATCACAGAGTACCTAAACCGGGACATCCTCTCTTTTGGTTGCAATCCCGATGTATTTGACAGGAGCCGAAGACAGCATGCCGTTCTCCGATCTCGGAGTTGTCGTGCATGTTCCCAGTGCCCGCGCTGCTTCCGGTACCGCGGCTGGGAGTTGACACTTGGTCAGTCATCATGCATGCCGCAGCTCATGCTGCTTCCCTTGCTGGTTGTGTGTCGAGCGGTCACCGAAGCCAAGGAGCATTCCTCAGTCTTCCTCAGTCTGAACTGATGGCTGATGGTGTGGAGGAGGGCGCAGAGCGCAGAGGGAGGTTGCGAGCAAAACAAGCAGTTTCCTGCAGCAGCGCCAAACAGCTGGAGGCCCAGCCACTGCCTGGGCCAAACAAAGGCAGCAGTGCCAAACAGCTGCTTTACTAGCCACTCAGTGCTTCAGGTTGTGTAAAGTTGTTGATAGCCAAACTTTTTTTATAGCCGCTTGCTTCTTTCAATGCCAACAAAACACAGTACTCGTACATGTACTCTCAGATGATGTTTTTCATGCAGTCCTGCCCTTGCGAAAGCTACAGTGTACCCATCTGAGCCAAGCTCTTTGGCCACCGTAGCGTACTAATCTGCAATTCATCCCCTGATCCCCAGACCTACCGTCCGGTAGTCCTGAATTTTGACTCTCTAAAGTTTGGCCTGGCCCTCTCTTGTAAAGATAATCTTCCACTCTAAACCCCCTTTTTTAACAGCTATGCTGAAATGATTGACTCACCAGTACCGTATCGCACCGGTGCTGGCACAATCAATAAAATTGGTGCCCGGGTGGATCTCTGAAATCTTTTGATTACATCTAGTGACTCAGAGCCAGCATCTTTCGTGCCAATGCTTGAATCTTACAAAGCAACAGCCAATTTTCAGAAGCGTTGGGTCTCTCAAGGTGTTGGATACGGTATGGTACATGTAACAGGAGCGAGAGGAGAGGATGGTGCTGGTCTCTCTCAAGAGCTACTTCGGAGTAGCTAGCAAGGTCGTGTGCAATTGATTGTCTCTCTTATCGTGGTATAGATTCCCTTTGCTCACAAACACACAAAACGCAACGAACATCAAACATCAAACATCAAATTCATTGACACCATGACGGAAGCATCTGCCAGATACATCGACTTGACCCTCCTCAGTGGCCTGGAACCAGCCATGTCGCCAGAAGAACAAGCCCGTGTAACGGAAATGTTAGTCTCTGGCGACAAGAACGAATTGGCCAAAGCCGCTCATGTCCTTTACGACCTGGGCGTGCTCTTGAAACAAGGAATGCTCTTTAGCAACCGCAGCGAAAAGGCCAAAAGCCAGCTCCAAGCTTCCTTTCAAAAGGAATTCAAATCATCAAAGAATCGTCCTGCTTTTAATGATCGCGATACACGGGTGTCCGAGGAAAAGAAACAAAATGATTTCGATCGGGACATTCGATCCCATGCGCTTCCTCTGCCAGTCCGAATGCCACGCATGGTTATTGTCGAGGCATATGATCCTGATGGAACTCCGGAGGAACGCAAGCTCTTGCCAGGCACCAAAACAACAAAGCCATCTCTGAACTTTTGCGATGATCCTTGGGATGGGACTCTGGGCGCTGCTTTCACAAAGTTGGAAGTCACCAAGAGCAGTGACACTGGAGGAGGCATCAAAAAGTTTTTCAAGCCCAAGAAAGAGGTCATCCCCACGACAACTTCCTCTTCCAAAACGGTGGACACCACGCTAAAGTTTTCGCCCGGGTTTGATGCCATTGCGGACCGAATGGATGGAGGATACTCGGCTAAACTCACGCTCCACGACGAACCACGAGTCCTCATTTCTTCTCTTCACAATGATGCTGCAAAGGTGGGCTTGCAGAAGGGCGATGTCGTCACTCACATCAATGGAGAGGAGTTTCTAGGCAATGCTCAAGAGTTGAACTTTATCATCAAGGAACACTATGCCAATGCCGGAGCTGGGGACAAACTAGAGTTGGTGGTCAATGCGGAGCAATGTGTTGCCAAAGCACTTCAACTGCGTGCCATGTGAGGAATTTGACTTCAATCGTGGCATGCATGGCTATGACTGGGTCTCGGAGGCTGTCGTACGGAAAGGACAGAGTTGAGTTTGGAAAGAAATATCCCGTCGAGCAAACTTCGAGGCTCAGTCACCGCTCTGCGTGCTTATGGTTATTGTGCTATCTACGGTATAGATGTAGTAACTATTCAAAGGATTGATAGATAGAACAAAATTGAGTCGAGTCAAGTCAAGTCAAGTTAGTCTACTTGCGAATGTGTTAGTTCAGGCATACAACCATGAACTATCAAGCCCCAAGAAGAAATCATATTTGATTGCCTTCTTCAATGCTGATGGAGTAACAGTTTTTGCTTTCTGCGACGTTTCCGATGTGTACTCTTGCTTCATTTTCTGGTTCTGTTCCAACATCCACGTCTCCATCGCCTTGGCGGATTTCAATCCGTGTCGCTTGATAATTTCGGAAGCAAACAGGGCATCGCGTAGATTGTCAATGTTCAAATGTGGGGAGCGGCATCGTTGACTATTGCTGAACATGTCCGGAAAGGCTTCTTCCAAGCGGGATGCTCCATCGTTGATGACCTTTCGATCTTTCTCCGTCAGCTTGATTCCGGGCAAGTCTACCAATTTGACGGGTTCCGCTTTGTTGATTTCCAAAAAGATCTCCTGCGCATGAGCCGAGGAGGATGTTTCACTACTGCTGCTGTCTGTTCCCTGCTGATTGTCTTCTGGAAACACTTCGACTAGAATGGAGTCCAAATCAAAGAATTCACTCTGGTCTTCTGCAGCCTCTTTCTTTTCCTCCAAAAGGGTCATCATTGCGACTGAAACATGCATAGGGAAGTATTTCAATGAGAAAACATCATATTTGACTTGTCATCTGACGAACTGACGAAGCTTGTGTCACCAAAAATCAATCAGACAGCACTGCCAAAACTAAAATAAATCATGAATGAATGAAAGCTCGCCTACGTACCTCGATGTTGTCCATCAATAATACTCAATGCCCCCTTGGAGTCCTCGTATAATGCAATGATGCCAGGCATGCCCAAATGAAGAGTTTTCATTTTGTCTTCTGCCATGTCCTTGGCTCTCTTGTGACGATACGTGCGTTGCTTTTTCCAGACAGGAAGTGTTTTAAGGACCTGAATGCTGGTGATATGGATTCGCTTGTATCCCAAATCGACAATGGCAGTTCCCAAAATGGGATGATCACTAATGGCAGTGGGTTCTTGATAGAACGACTCTTGCTGTTCTTCTTTTTCGGCCACTAGTTTCTGTTGTTTTTCCTCCTTGTCTTTTTCCACGTCCTTCTGCCAGGTTTCAAAGTTCAAGCGTCGTTGTTGGATGATCAGTTCATTTTCCACACGTTTTCGGGTAGCTTCTTCCGCCTCGGCGGTCAGTTTGGCTTGTTGTTGTTTCAATGCTGCCGTTAGCTTTTGCGCTTCTTCGGCCCGTGCTGCCGCCACGGCTTCTTGAATGGAATGTTTGGTTTCTTGTTGAATTTCTTCCTCACTTTTGCCTTTTTGTTCTTGTGGATTTTCAATGTTCAACCGACCTAGCAGCACCTTTTGCTCGTCTTTCGAAAGACTCTCCGTCAAACTGGTGGCAATTCTCCAGCGGAGTTGGGAATAGTAGTGCGCTGCCGAATCCAACAGGGATTCCGGCTTGGACGATCGACCAGACGACGATTGGCATCGAATCAGAATCGGTTGCTGTTGTTTGGATCCAAATGTAGAAGAAGAAGAAGCGTAGCGCCCCGCGACAACACATCGCCTCAATGTCATAGAAGCCATGGTGGAAGAAACCATACGGTGTGTCTCGCTACTTCTTTAGCTTGCTTGGTTTAAGCTACCAACAAAGTACGGTAGAATGAAGATCGCCTCTTGGACTTCTTGTGGCGAAACGAGAGGAGAGCCAATGACGCGAATGGCTGGCAGCATGAACGATTTCCGGTCCCTTTCTTTTAGAAATCAATTCAATCGAGAGATCCGACCCGACTCGATTCGATTCAATCGAATGAATCGAATCGAATCAAATCAATTCAATCGAGAGATTTCGATTAAATCGAATCGAATCATTAGAATCAGTGGGATTAGCTGTCGGATTCCACTTTTATGCATACCGGTAGGTCCAGTAGAGCTACTAGCTAGACTATGATAGCAAGATCATGTCAATATGGGTCATAGAGGTTGTAAACCTCCCCTCCAGACTAGGATCCAGTTTGTTTCTACAGTGGTTGTCGAATCGGCATTGGCCGTTTCTCTTCTTCCCTGGCATGCAGTTGCAAGTTTCGTTTTGGAACTGAACGAACCGGCAGGTTTTGTATTGGGGAAGTGGTACAGTGGTAGGTTTGTACGGAGTTCTACACAGACGGACCGTTAAAATACAAAACCAGCCGTTATCATTCCATTCGAAACGAACCAGCTACTTAAGGACGTCTGTGCCCCATTGGTCTCCGGACTGACCATCGGGCAGTCGGGCTTGCGCCCTCCCTTAAGCCCTCGGTCAGTCCTCCGACCTTCGGGTCCCTGCCTTACCCTTAAGTAGACGGTTCGTTTCTAATCACTGCGGAGATGGCATCTTTGGTGAGCTTCCTTGATAGGTCGCCCATGCACATCTCTCTCAGGTTGGTAAATCGATGGTAAGACATAGACGTTCTGATCCATTCGAGGCGGTTGCTCTTGCTCTTCTTGAGGTTGTTGATTTCTTGTAAAATTGGGGTCGTGTCTTGCTTGAAGAGCCCTTGGAGGAGGAGCGAGTGCGTACGTCCGTACCGGTACCGAACGTCAGCACTAAAAGCTACTCGGTACGGTACATGCAGTACCACCAGTACCAGCAATGCCTAAACAACAGGCATTATCTACAGTGACACCTCCAGCTAAACCATCACATCTCCATTACTTAAGCAAGTAAGTTATTGAGTTCCACTGTAGATGGCTGATTTATAAGAACCCTCTTACAGTATTCTACACTATGTTCGACTGCCCCTCCCTTCTTTTTTGCATTGGACATCATGGCCTTTAATTAACAAACCTGATGATTATTTGCGTTCTTTTATAGAAGCTTTCGTTGGTTCTCGGCGTATTTTTTCACCCGAAGATGCCACCAACGAAAGCTTCATCATCATCTTCCACCCCTCCCCACTCATGCCAAATCGCTGTCAACAGCTCTCTCAACTATCAACCTTTTCATCACTTCCTCCCCAACAAAGAGCAAAAACACAGAAAATAAACGCACTAGTTGCCTCCAGCATCTTTCCTTTGTTATCACCCATCGATAAAACAGAATATCTCGCTGGCATCTTTCATCCTTCAGCTACACTACCATGTTAATTGCAACCAAGAAGAGCGCAAGAAGCGCTCTGAATACTCGGTTTATCCGCTGGGGATGTTGCGCTCTGGTAATTTCCCTGATTCCTCCAGCCGCAACTGCTCAAGATTTCTTGACCTTTGTCCGCTCGCTTCCTTCCAAGTACGAGCGTCGCCAGTTCTGGTTCTACTGGTTCCTCTACAGGCAGAAACAAAATTCAGAGTCGAGAAAGGGCGTCAGCTGCGACTACGACGATCCCGAGACTTTGAACCTTTTGTGCCCTCCAACACTTGCCCCAATGATTCGTGAGGAGCATGACACCGTTGTTCCCTGGCCCATTGATTGCATCGATGAGCCAGAGCTCCCAGGTTGTGAGAAGGCAACCACCACGAGCAGCCCATCATTAGGGATAGAAATAAATGAGCAACCAACTGGAGCTTCGGGAACCGCCAACCTCATCAACAGCAACGGCGAGGACGACTTCGATGCCTACTTTGAGTGCTTGGGAAATCGAGAGATCGACAACCGCTTTTGTCAACGTCCAGATACCCCTGCGCCAGGATATTATCATCATGTCACGACGGCACCACTTACCCACCCCAATGGCGGAGAAGAAGTCAATCAACACAATGTTTTTGGGAGCATTTCCAGACCGACGGATGAGAATCAACAGCACAATGCTTTTGGTAGCATTTCCAGACCGAGTGAGGAAGCAGATCCCGATGAGCACCTCTTCTACATTGATTCCATTAACTTTGATGTCACTGTTACTCGCCCTCCCTTTACATACCAAGGCGCCAACGAAGGGACGGCCGAACATGATGGTTGTCAGGGGACCTTGTCTCTAGAACCCATTGGCGGGGTTAGTGCTACAAGCCAGACATTCCCAGAGCTACCTCCCATTCAGTTGGTCCGTGCGGCAAAGGATCAATCTCAGGTGGGTGCAGTTCACTTTTCTGTGAGCCAAACACTCATGGAGGATCGCTTGGTGGATGGAATGGCGCTGGTATACCCTGGCATTCGGAGAACACCAGGAATCTTCATGTTGTGCGACCGAAAGAACCAAGTTCCCTGGGGCGCCACTAGATATTATGCCGCCGCCTGTGGATTCGATGGATTTGCCGACATTGAGTTATATTTCTATTCAAGTGAATTGCCAGCTGGTGGCGACACGGTAGAATTGCCAAAATATTGTGACGAATGGGAAACCACTACCGAACCCAGCTCAACAAAAACTGTGGGATATCAAGCTCGACTCCCCTGTACTTGTGATCCAATACTTTTCGACCCGAAGGAAATGTTTGGCTCAACGGATCTTCGTGAAGACCATGACACTGGGTTGGAAATCGATTTTATTCCTTGCGAAGATGTGAACCTAACTCGCATCGAGCCGACAGGAGACGACACTGAACATCTTGTACCAGGCCTTCCTCCTGTTGATTTGCTGTACTCCGATGGAGCCACGGTAAAGTTTTCGGTATCCCAGACTATCAAGGAAGGAATCGTCAATGGGATGGCTGTTGTTTTTCCTGCGTTGGAAGGCGGCATCACTTGCGATAGGTTCGATGATGTGGTCTGGGGCTCGACCAAGTACTACGATGCACTTTGCCGAAACGGCGCTGCTCACGTTCTGCTCTCATTCTATGATGTGACCTTGGACTCACCAATTAATGAGCAAGCATCCACGTTTTGCAATCCTTGGAAGGATTCTTCGGGCTATTTGATCAGTTACATGGCATACTTGCCGTGTGACTTTTGTGATAATAGTACCTACGCTCCCACGTTTGTGCCCTTCAGTGCCACTCCGTTTGTGGTCCCGCCATTCAATGAAAGTACAGCTGTACCGACTGGAGAAAATGAAACCTTGACTCCTTCACAGACACCGGAGACCGGGCCCACAGCTGGGTGCATGGTTTCTCTGCAAAGGCAACATGGGAATGTGACCCCAGAGCTACCACCCATTGAGATTCTTTCCTATGATGAGGATTATGTCAGCTTTTCTGTGTCACAAACATTCAAGGAATCTGGCGGCATCAGTTGGATGGGAGTTGCTTACAAATCTGCAGAAGAGGGCGGAACTGCCAAGCTGGTCTGTGATGAAAGTGTAAATTTACCCTGGGGAAAGACTCTGTTTTTTCGAGCTGCTTGCAAACAAGCGACGTCAGATGTTTTACTCTATTTGCTCTATGGCACCTTGGGAAATGTGTCAAATACGTTTCCTGGCGCCTGCAATGGTTGGCACAACAACAAGGGTTATACTGAAAGCTTCAAAGCAATTCTTCCTTGTCACTGCCAAACAAACAGTATAACTGAACCAGACATTTCTCCTTCTGCCCTTTCATTGCTGGGGAACCCTACATTATCCCCTAGCATCGAGGGAGACTTGAAGGAGCCTTCCCTTATGCCATTCAATACACAGTTGCAAGATTTGCCAATGCCTGCATCAGCAATCCACACCACAAAGTGTTTAGCTATTGTGATACCACAGGATTCCACCTACATACCACAGCTTCCACCCATTATGATCCAGGCCTACAACAATGAATCCGTCAGCTTCTCAGTCTCCCAGACATTCAAGGAGAGTGGGGAGATCAATTGGCTGGGGGTTTTGTACCCTTCTCTGGAAGATGGTGGAAACCCAAAGCAAGTATGCAATGCAATGGAAAAAATACCCTGGGGAACAACAAAATACTATGAAGCCGCCTGCACTCAGCATAATGCAGAAGTTTTGCTGTATGTGGATGATGACAAGTTCACAGCTGAATCAACCAGCTTTCCCCAAGCTTGCATTGATTGGAGCAACAAGCATACATACACCATCAGTTATAAAGCTATACTTCCTTGTCAATGCCAAACAATCGATGATCCTTTGGAAGGTAGCCCTCCTTCTGCCCTAACTTTGATGGATGAACCAACATTGTACCCCAAACCAATCCAAGAAGACACAAGCATGCCCTCAAAAGCTTATCCTACAATGAACCCCAGTACCATTAACAACATCAGTAGATCCCCAACTGAGGAATCTGCAAGACCAACGGTGGGCTCTGAAAGCCCAGCAGTTCCCACAAGTCCCCTGATTGCTTCACCCAGCTCCCCCAGCATGGGTGCCCCCACAACAGGATCTGCTGGGGCACCAAATTCCATTAGCAGCAGCTCTCCAACCATAGGATCAGGAAACGCACCATCGGCGACCTCTGAAAGCCCCACAGCTACCACAAGTCCCACCATTGCTTTGCCCAGCTCCCCAAACATTGGTGCTCCCACAACAGGTTCTTCTAGCCTACCCAGTTCTGGCAGCAGCGGCAGTCCAACCACCGGAGTTGGAAGCGCTCCACCCATGGTTCCTGGCAAACCAGGTGGTCCCACAGGTCCCAACATTGTTTCAATCAGCTTCCCAAGCACGAGTGCTCAGACATCAGGATCTTCTGGTTCGCCCAATTCCAGTGGCAGCAGCTCCCCAACCACAGGATCAGGAAATGCACCAACAGGGGGATCTGACAGTTCTCCTGGTTCAACAAATCCCACCATTGCTACATCAAGTTCCCCGAGCATAAGTGCTCCCACAACAGGATCTTCAGCTACACCCAATTCCATTCCCTCTCAGACTACAGGAGCAGCAAATACACCAACGGTGGGATCGGACAGCCAAGGCACTACTGGTACCACAAGTCCCATCATTGCTTTGCCCAGCTCCCCACAAATAACTACTCCCACAACAGGATCATCTGGTATACCCAATTCCAGCAGTAGTTCCCCCCCAACCACGGGAGCAGGTATCATACCAACAGTGGGATCTGACAGCTCCACAGCTACCACAAGTCCCACAATTGCTTTACCCAGCTCCACAAACATCAGTGCTCCCACAACAGGTTCTTCTAGCGCACCCAATTCCAGCAGCAATGACACTCAAACCACAGGAGTAGAAACCACTACAAGACCAAGCATGGGCTCTGGCAGCCCAGCTGGTCCCACCGTTGCCTCGCCCAGCTCCCCAAGCGTGGGTGGTCCAACCACTGGATCTTCTGGGGCACCCAATTCCGGCAGCAACGACACTCCAACCACTGGAGCAGGATCCACCCCGACCATCGGCTCTGGCAGCCCAGCTGGTCCCACCGTTGCCTCGCCCAGCTCCCCAAGCGTGGGTGGTCCAACCACTGGATCTTCTGGGGCACCCAATTCCGGCAGCAACGACACTCCACCACTGGAGCAGGATCCACCCCGACCATCGGCTCTGGCAGCCCAGCGGTCCCACCGTTGCCTGCCCAGCTCCCAAGCGTGGGTGGTCCAACCACTGATCTTCTGGGCACCCAATTCCGGCGCAACGACACTCCAACCACTGAGCAGGATCCACCCCGACCATCGGCCTGGCACCCAGCTGGTCCACCGTTGCCTCGCCCAGTCCCCAAGCGTGGGTGGTCCAACCCTGGATCTTCTGGGGCACCCAATTCGGCAGCAACGACACTCCACCACTGGAGCAGGATCCACCCCGACCATCGTCTGGCAGCCCAGCTGGCCACGCTGGTCCCACCGTTGCCTCCCAGTCCCCAAGCGTGGGTGGTCCAACCACTGGATCTTCTGGGGCACCCAATTCGGCACAACACACTCCAACCACTGGGCAGGATCCACCCCACCATCGGCTCTGGCAACCCAGCTGTCCCACCGTTGCTCGCCCAGCTCCCCAAGCGTGGGTGGTCCAACACTGGATCTTCTGGGGCACCAATTCCGGCAGCAAGACACTCCAACCACTGGAGCAGATCCACCCGACCATCGGCTCTGGCGCCCAGCGCCACTGCTGTCCCACCGTTGCCTCGCCCAGCTCCCCAAGCGTGGGTGGTCCAACCACTGGATCTTCTGGGGCACCCAATTCCGGCAGCAACGACACTCCAACCACTGAGCAGGATCCACCCCGACCATCGGCTCTGGCAGCCCAGCTGGTCCCACCGTTGCCTCGCCCAGTTCCCCAAGCGTGGGTGGTCAACCACTGGATCTTCTGGGCACCCAATTCCGGCAGCAACACACTCCCCACTGGAGCAGGATCCACCCCGACCATCGGCTCTGGCGGCCCAGCTGGTCCCACTGTTGCCTCGCCCAGCTCCCCAAGCGTGGGTGGTCCAACCACTGGATCTTCTGGGGCACCCAATTCCGGCAGCAATGACACTCCAACCATGAGACCAGGGAGCGATCCTACGGTGGCCTCTTACAGCCCAGCCACTACCGCAAGTCCCACCATTGCTTTGCCCAACTCCCCAAGCATGAGTGCTCCCACAACAACATCTTCTGTGGCACCCTCTTTGGGCATTGGTGGCACTCCAACTACTGGAGCTGGAACCACCCCAACAGTTGGCACTGACAGCCCAACTCCCATGTCAACTGCAAATCCCAGTGGAGCTGCAAGTGGAGCTCCCAGTTTTGGTTTCATGTGTGATTTTGCTCCTCCATCTTGTTTATATGAGCCTGATGATGGAGTAGATCGTATATTCTTTTGCATAGATTTTCAGGGTCTCAAAGGCGACGTTTGTGTCACATGGAAAGAGTTGGCATTTTTGGAGTCAATCGGTACGTTTTTCAAAATTTTAATTGTGGATTCCTGCTCTGTGCCACTAAACAAGTATTGCCCTGGTCTTCAAAAGAGGCTGGTGGCTGTGGACTTTGCACTGGTAGTGCAAGCCCGATGACGTATCCACACAGCATGCCAGCAGTCTTGTTCAGTGAGCAACCCAGCAGCACATTGTTTTCTCGACCAAGCCAAAACCCAAGTACTCTGCTTAACTCTGCCCTTAGTGGCAGTCCCAGTGAGGTTGCTTTTGATCCCACTCTGACTCCCAGCAGCAGTCCAAGCATCTCTGCTAGTGGCAACCCCAGTCTCATCCCCTCCATAGGACCAAGTGACAGTCTCACTAGAAAGCCTACTATTGGGCCTACTGTGTCAACCAGTGACTCTTTCAGTTTGGCCCCAAGCCCGAGTCCATCAATGAAATCCAGTTTGATTCAAAGCATGTATCAATCATTTGAGCCCACCACAAGTGAAACCTCGACATTTACCTTTCTACCCACTGAGAACTTGGATATGGAACCAATCCAGAGTCAACAACCAACTACCACACACAATGCCTGTGCATTTACGCCTCCAAGTTGTGTTCTTGAAGCACATGACAAATCTGAAAGGGTTGTGTTTTGTTTCGACTTTGTAGGTCTAATGGGAAGCATTTGTGTAACCTGGGAACAAGTTGCACTGCTAAAGAGCTTGGGTAAGTACTTGACAAAGAATAAAAGCAAAACAATCCATTAACCTCACTACAAAATCAAAATCTTTTGCAGAGGCAGGAAACTGTGGACCCTGCAACAATGGTGCTGTTCAGCCCACAAATGCACCAAATACTGTAAACGAACCAGCAACAAAGAACCCAGCATTCCAAGGTACAAGGCCAACAGCAACACAAAGCTCAAACAATCCAGCAAGTACTTCAAGTCCAACCATTGACGCTTCCAGAACGCCAAGTATGAGTGTGCCCACAACAGGAATTTTTGGTGCACCGAATTCCAGCAGCAGTAGCACTCCAACGACGGGACCAGTAAGCGCGGCAACAATGGCCTCTAGCAGCCCAGCCACTACCGCAAGTCCAACCATTGCTTTGCCCAGCTCCCCAAGCATGGGTGCTCCCACAACAACATCTTCTGAAGCACCCAATTCCAGCAACAACGACACTCCAAACACCCCAACCATTGGCTCTGACAGTCCAGTTACTACCACAAGTCCAACCATAACTTCCACCAATTTCCCAACAAATATCCATCAACCCAGTGGCCTGCCCAGCGCAGTCCCTACAATCAGCTTGGCGCCCAGTGAGAGCCCCAGTTCTGCACCAACAATGAGCCCAAGCTCTGTACCAAGTGAAGGCCCAAGCATCAGGCCCAGCTCAGGGCCAAGCAGCAGGCCCAGTTCCAGTCCAAGCGGCGCACCAAGTAGCGATCCAAGCATTGCTCCTTCTGCTCCTCCGAGCTCATCGCCCTCTGTGACTCCCAGCCAAACCCCAAGCAACACCCCCAGTTATGAACCAAGTTCCGCCCCAAGGCAGCCCTAGCGGGGTTCCTTCTGCTGTCCCCAGTGCCACTCCCAGCAAAAGTCCAAGCAGATCTCCCAGTGGCAGCCCCAGCATCGGCCATCCATTGGTCCCAGTGGCAGTCCATCTGGAAGCCCTAGCGTTGCACCGAGTGTGCAGCCCAGCGTCTCTCCCAGTTCTGCCCCCAGTCTTGGCCCGTCAAGCGCTCCCAGTGCATCGCTGAGCTCTGGTCCCAGCCAAGGCCCCAGTGCTTCACCCAGTGATGGCCCGAGTGTGAAACCAAGTCAGAGCCCGTCGATCAGTCCCAGTGCGGACCCAAGCATGGTTCCTAGCCATGCCCCTAGTGCTTCACCCAGCTTGGATCCCAGCTCACGGCCCAGTGCATCCCCAAGTTCCGATCCCAGCGCTTCCCCGTCTGGCTCTCCATCTGCAAGTCCTTCTAGGTCCCCCAGCTCCAGTCCCAGTGTGGGCCCCAGTGTCAGACCCAGCGCAAGCCCCAGCGACTCTCCAACGGGCAGCCCTCAACCCAGTGGCCTGCCCAGCGCAGTCCCTACAATCAGCTTGTCGCCCAGTGAGAGCCCCAGTTCTGCACCAACAATGAGCCCAAGCTCTGTACCAAGTGAGGGCCCAAGCATCAGCCCCAGCTCAGGGCCAAGCAGCAGGCCCAGTTCCAGTCCAAGCGGCGCACCAAGTAGCGATCCAAGCATTGCTCCTTCTGCTCCTCCGAGCTCATCGCCCTCTGTGACTCCCAGCCAAACCCCAAGCAACACCCCCAGTTATGAACCAAGTTCCGCCCCAAGTGGCAGCCCTAGCGGGGTTCCTTCTGCTGTCCCCAGTGCCACTCCCAGCAAAAGTCCAAGCAGATCTCCCAGTGGCAGCCCCAGCATCGGCCCATCCATTGGTCCCAGTGGCAGTCCATCTGGAAGCCCTAGCGTTGCACCGAGTGTGCAGCCCAGCGTCTCTCCCAGTTCTGCCCCCAGTCTTGGCCCGTCAAGCGCTCCCAGTGCATCGCCGAGCTCTGGTCCCAGCCAAGGCCCCAGTGCTTCACCCAGTGATGGCCCGAGTGTGAAACCAAGTCAGAGCCCGTCGATCAGTCCCAGTGCGGACCCAAGCATGGTTCCTAGCCATGCCCCTAGTGCTTCACCCAGCTTGGATCCCAGCTCAAGGCCCAGTGCATCCCCAAGTTCCGATCCCAGCGCTTCCCCGTCTGGCTCTCCATCTGCAAGTCCGTCTAGGTCCCCCAGCTCCAGTCCCAGTGTGGGCCCCAGTGTCAGACCCAGCGCAAGCCCCAGCGACTCTCCAACGGGCAGCCCTCAACCCAGTGGCCTGCCCAGCGCAGTCCCTACAATCAGCTTGGCGCCCAGTGAGAGCCCCAGTTCTGCACCAACAATGAGCCCAAGCTCTGTACCAAGTGAGGGCCCAAGCATCAGCCCCAGCTCAGGGCCAAGCAGCAGGCCCAGTTCCAGTCCAAGCGGCGCACCAAGTAGCGATCCAAGCATTGCTCCTTCTGCTCCTCCGAGCTCATCGCCCTCTGTGACTCCCAGCCAAACCCCAAGCAACACCCCCAGTTATGAACCAAGTTCCGCCCCAAGTGGCAGCCCTAGCGGGGTTCCTTCTGATGTTCCCAGTACCACTCCCAGCAAAAGTCCAAGCAGATCTCCCAGTGGCAGCCCAGCATCGGCCCATCCATTGGTCCCAGTGGCAGTCCATCGGGAAGCCCTAGCGTTGCGCCGAGTGTGCAACCCAGCGTCTCTCCCAGTTCTGCCCCAGTCTGGCCCGTCAAGCGCTCCCAGTGCATCGCCGAGCTCTGTCCCAGCCAAGGCCCCAGTGCTTCACCCAGTGATGCCCGAGTGTGAAACCAAGTCAGAGCCCGTCGATCAGTCCCATTGCGGACCCAAGCATGGTCCTAGCCATGCCCCTAGTGCTTCCCCAGCTTGGATCCCACCTCACGGCCCAGTGCATCCCCAAGTTCCGATCCAGCGCTTCCCCGTCTGGCTCCCATCTGCAAGTCCTCTAGGTCCCCCAGCTCCAGTCCGTGTGGGCCCCAGTGTCAGACCCAGCGAAGCCCCAGCGACTCTCCACGGGCAGCCCTCAACCCAGTGCCTGCCCAGCGCAGTCCCTACAATCAGCTTGCGCCCAGTGAGAGCCCAGTTCTGACCAACAATGAGCCCAAGCTCTGTACAAGTGAGGGCCCAAGCATCAGCCCCAGCTCAGGCCAAGCAGTAGGCCCAGTTCCAGTCCAAGCGGCGCACCAAGTGCGATCCAAGCATTGCTCCTTCTGCTCCTCCGAGCTCATCGCCCTCGTGACTCCCAGCCAACCCAAGCAACACCCCCAGTATGAACCAAGTTCCGCCCCAGTGGCAGCCCTAGCGGGGTTCTTCTGTGTCCCAGTACCACTCCCAGCAAAAGTCCAAGCAGATCTCCCAGTGGCAGCCCCAGCATCGGCCCATCCATTGGTCCCAGTGGCAGTCCATCGGGAAGCCCTAGCGTTGCGCCGAGTGTGCAACCCAGCGTCTCTCCCAGTTCTGCCCCCAGTCTTGGCCCGTCAAGCACTCCCAGTGCATCGCCGAGCTCTGGTCCCAGCCAAGGCCCCAGTGCTTCACCCAGTGATGGCCCGAGTGTGAAACCAAGTCAGAGCCCGTCGATCAGTCCCAGTGCGGACCCAAGCATGGTTCCTAGCCATGCCCCTAGTGCTTCGCCCAGCTTGGATCCCAGCTCACGGCCCAGTGCATCCCCAAGTTCCGATCCCAGCGCTTCCCCGTCTGGCTCTCCATCTGCAAGTCCGTCTAGGTCCCCCAGCTCCAGTCCCAGTGTGGGCCCCAGTGTCAGACCCAGCGCAAGCCCCAGCGACTCTCCAACGCGCAGCCCTCAACCCAGTGGCCTGCCCAGTGCAGTCCCTACAATCAGCTTGTCGCCCAGTGAGAGCCCCAGTTCTGCACCAACAATGAGCCCAAGCTCTGTACCAAGTGAGGGCCCAAGCATCAGCCCCAGCTCAGGGCCAAGCAGTAGGCCCAGTTCCAGTCCAAGCGGCGCACCAAGTATTGCTCCTTCTGCTCCTCCGAGCTCATCGCCCTCTGTGACTCCCAGCCAAACCCCAAGCAACACCCCCAGTTATGAACCAAGTTCCGCCCCAAGTGGCAGCCCTAGCGGGGTTCCTTCTGCTGTCCCCAGTGCCACTCCCAGCAAAAGTCCAAGCAGATCTCCCAGTGGCAGCCCCAGCATCGGCCCATCCATTGGTCCCAGTGGCAGTCCATCTGGAAGCCCTAGCATTGCACCGAGTGTGCAACCCAGCGTCTCTCCCAGTTCTGCCCCCAGTCTTGGCCCGTCAAGCGCTCCCAGTGCATCGCCGAGCTCTGGTCCCAGCCAAGGCCCCAGTGCTTCACCCAGTGATGGCCCGAGTGTGAAACCAAGTCAGAGCCCGTCCATCAGTCCAAGTATACCTCCCAAGCTGTGTAGTGAAGCAAGTGCCTCTCCAAGTTCAAGACCATTGCCTCCCACTTCTGCTCCATCTAATGGTGGGTTTGATGCAGCTTCATGCTATGCGGCTGGTTGGACTTGTGATAATGGCGGGGGTTTGCAAAGGGTTCAAGCTTGTCATATTCTACCCAATGGGCAAGAGAAATCATTCTGCAAGAAGTTGGACTATAACTGGGGTGATGGAACATACTGTGGAATTTGTGACAGTGACAGACGGAAATTGGCGGACTTGTCCCCAAGTACTTTGCCCAATTGTGCTCCTAATGAACCTCCAAGCCCAGCTCCTGTGCCCCCTACTGCTGCTCCTTCAAAAGATGGGTTTGATGCTGCTGCTTGCTATGCAGCTGGTTGGACTTGTGACAATGGTGGTGGCTTGCAAAGAGTTCAAGCTTGCCACATTCTACCGAACGGAAAGGAGAAATCCTTCTGTAAGAAGTTGGACTACAACTGGGGTGATGGAACATACTGCGGACTTTGCAATGGTGATAGGAGAAAACTTGATGCTGGAGAGCCTGTTCATATTGATTTTTCAGATGATCATGACAGACAAGATCAGCCTAAGTTGCAGGCAGGAGAGAAGGTAGTGTCAAATGCAGCTTTAAAGGCACATGTAGATGGCAATGTGGAAAACTCAAGAAGCGCAGAATCTGCATCCACCAAAGTGCAAGAGAGTGCCCCTGATTTAGGCAAGCTTCCAACAAGATGGAAGGTACAGATGGACCCATATGGTGAAGAGGATGAACCATATTGTGCATCAGTAGATTTTCCCTGTGGTGACGTTGAAGACATGGTATACATCTGTCACTATTCCGCCTACCAGGGATATCAGACTTTGTGCCTTCATGAAGACCAGAGTGACATTATCAGCTACTACAAGAATGACTACTGTGGTCCATGTGTGGGTGGGTTTGGATCAAGGCTGAAGGATGAATTTTAGGCTTTGGCCAGTCATAGTATTGTTGAAGCCACGCACATTTTACGTTCGCCCAAACGAACCCACGCCTTCAATCCAAAGTGTGTTCTCCAAAGAAAAACTACTTTAAGTCCACAAGAGTGTTCAAAATTTTCAAATTTTCTATTACACATATTGATGCATGTTCCATCACCAATTTGTACGCAATCAACATTTACCATGAATCATTGACATAGATCTAGCTTGCATTTCTGGCATAGTGGCTTGCATTCCTTACGAACAAGAACTCGCTGGTGTTCTGCATCTTACAGCTAGCCAGAAGGTAGACATGGATTGGGGCAAACTTGTGAAAAGAGGAGGTGTGTTTGTTGGTGGGGGGGGGGGGGTTAAAGTAGGGAAGTTGTCTAAGGGGGAGAGTGAGGGGCAGCTTAGGAGGCACAGAGGAGGCGACCAAGGCTGCGTCAGCAGTCAGCAGTCATACACGGAACGCATCGAATGATTCAATCATGAATAATTCGAATCCTGACACAGAGACGACCATGGCGTGTTCTTCTGTTATAACTATCGCAGCATAGAATATGAACTGCAAGAGAGGTAGTGGTAGCAGCTCTGGCTGCTACAGTACCACAATCATTATCAGAATCAGTGCTTTCTTTCTATCAAAACGTTGCTCTGTTGTTTGTGTCACAAGACAACCGAGGCCATGGAAATGGGGCAGAGCAATGACACTGACAGCACAGCCATGTACAATGCAACGGGCAACGCGGCACCGTTGCTTGGATCCAACAAGGATGACTCGAACAATGTTGGTGGAATGCGTCTTCCACTGGAACTCATCATTGCCGTGTTTGTGTTTGCATTGGCGATGATAATTGTGGCAATGGAATCCATCAAGGCTGTTCGGGCCATGAGGGAATATCATGACTTTAAAGAACGAGCCAAGAAGCAGTTGCAAGACCATCATCACGCCAAACGACGACAACAAAGGTGCGATGATTGTTGTTCTATTCTTCCTCTATTAGGTGGCCGTCATGAATATCACTTTCAATGCCGATACTCGGATTCGAGTTTTTATCAGACGCGAGTTTTGCCCGAGATCTATCGAGGATGGTTTCATCGTTCTAGACTACGGCGGAACATTGGTGATCATGAAATTGAAACTCAAGGTGTCCTGGTCGTCATTGATGAAGCAATTTGGTCCGAGAGAAAACAATGCTCACGGCAACAACACGATAGCAATCCTCCAGCCAGCAGAACATACGACAATGTCAGCAACAGAGTGAAGGACTTGGAAGAATGTGAAAAGGAAAGCAACAACAGTAGTGCCGAAAGCCAAAGGTCAGATATCCAAGATCAGCGATTGCTTTCTCTAGATGGCTACGGTACGAGCCCGCATGGTACCTTTGAAATCACAGAAGGATACCTGTGCCCCTTTTCTGGAAGATGCTATTGGGTGCAAGAAGACATTGACAATTGTTGCAGAACAAGAAAAGTAGTGTCATCGGGCTTTTTCTGCCGACAGCAAGGCGAGGAACCTGGGTCACTTCGTTTCAGCGGCACCTGGAGGGCCAATACAGGTGCCACAGGACAATCAGCGCAACTAACCTTATGGCCAGCGACACACGATGATGGGAAACCCCAGCCCTCCTCTCCGAACGGGGACAGTTGCTCCGTCACGGTGGACACGGGCACTTCTTCTTTGGCCACATTTGCCATAACCACGGGCTAGCTAGTGATGGGAAAGAGAGTGGGCTCGGGTTCAATCAATCATCACGAGTGAAAACTTGCACAGGAGGGAGCAAGAAAAGCTGTGCCCACTGGCGAAGAACTACTGGTGAAAGGAATTTTTCGTTATGGGTCAAAACGGGTCAAAGTGTATCGTTATACGAGATTTTAAATAAGTTAAGCTATGAAGTAACAGCTGGGTCACGGCAACCACTCTGTGCCTAGAGACAAGCGTGCACTTCAAACTTCCCGCATATGTATAACGAAAAAGTCAAATCAAAATCATGCAATGAATGCAGGTTACGGTAGCCTTTCAACTGCAATGTTCCTTGGTCGATGAAAAAATGTATAAAAGCGCGGTCAAAAGTGCATGGTGCAAAAATGTAGTAGCAAAACGTGCAAAAATGTAATGGTAGCTTGGGTTGTGCGGAGTTCTTTCTGCTCGGTACCCACTCATGATCTTGGGGAGTTAGCAGTGAAGCGTGGAGGGCCCTGTGTTTCCACCTTGACGGCCTCGGGAAGGCGCGCCGTAGTGGTATGCTCGACCTCGTTCCAGAAGGGTTCGTACACACACGTCTTGACGGCCGCCAAGACGGTCCTTTCGCCCAAGGGCAAGACATCATTGTAGAACCATGGCAAGACACCTTGAGCCGGAGCGTTCATCAGGACACGACTGCCCCATTTGGGAACAGTAAAGAAGGCTGCGATGCCCTCCTTGTGGAGCCCTTGACGAATGACAGCAGAATAGTCAATGCGTCCCTTTTCGGCCAACATATCCAAGGATCGTCCCCAGAGTGCTTGTTGGGTAATGGCGGCGACGTTACCCACAAAAATGTTCATGGACAAGCCATACCAAAAGAGGCTGGATTTGGTCTTGTGCTCTTGTGGGAAGTATAGCTTGTAGGTGATGGGAGTCAAGACAAAGGTGGTCTGACACATGATGGTGTTCCTCATGGCAGACGGGAAAAATGCAGGCCCAGCCATGCGAGAGAGCAGTGGGTAGCTCCTTTGTGCGAGCAAGTTGGACTCGATAGTGGCAAATTGTTGCTTTCCAAAGTATCGTTGCACTTCTGCTCGGTTGCTGACTTTGGACTCTAGACTGGCTGCCAGAATCGGGGCCAACAGTGTCTTGGCGGCCGACTTGATGCGAAAGTCGAGTGATGCTTGGTCTCCTTCCTGACCGGTGCTGCTGCCGGGTGGCTTCATGAGTTCACTTCCATACGGAGTCGCAGGTACTCCCATCATCTTGGAGAGTCCTTGATCGACCAGCTGAAAGGCAAATCCCATGACACTGTATTGAAAGAACCATGCCACAAGAGAAGCACGTCCCACTACCCGGTAGGGTGCGAGGGCTCCATCTTTGAACGTGAGCTGGATGGCTTGTCCAAACTGTCCCTTGCCGGATACTTGACTGGAGTTCATAAACAGGGCGATCTTTTCCAAAGGCATGCCACCGAACCTCATGAGAACGCCAAAGCAGCCGATACCCACCGACCGGTAGGTCAACAACGCTGGATCAGCGACAGAGGCGGGAAGATTGAGCTGAGCCGCCAGTGCCGCAGAGCTCAAAGGTTCTGTATATTCGTCATTATTTGCTGCTCTGCTTGTCATTGTGCCAGATAGATAGATAATAGCGTCAAGGACAGCTAGAATGAGAGAAAGTAAGATGAGGATGCGAAAGCAATCGACAATGGGAAGGGTAGCTGATGCTTGGGTCTTCTTCCTTGTCAGGTTGACAGAGATAGCAGTTCTTGTGCCAAGGGGTTGACAACTGTGCTTCGTGATAATATGGTCTCCGAAGAGAGATATCAAGATCCGTTGCTGTTTGATTATTGTGAGCACTGACGCTACACTTACTGTCTTTCTTCCGGACAGTTCCTTATTCCCCTCAGCAGTCGGAAGTGAACCATTTCTTGAGTCACGGTTGTTCGTTGGCTGGAGCGTCCGGAACATTGTTCGGAACAAATAAATCAAAGTCAAAGTCTTGGGTTTCAGTCCCATCAGAACACACAAGTTCACCGAAAGCTCCTAGACTAATCCGAGGGGTCCAAATGATTGTAATTCGAATCGCAAGCTAGCTAGCTAGCTAGCTAGAGAGAGAGAAGAAACGTAAACCGAAGCTCATCTTTTGGCACTACGTGGCCATTCAGTGCAGTGAAACTGCAATCCGGCTTTTGCACTTGTGCACCTGCCCACTGTCAGAGCGAAGAAAGCCTGGAGGGAAAAGAGAACCAGGCTACAGTATGGATTCTGGATATCGATGCTACATGGGCACCAAGCGACTTGCTTCTTCATGCTGAACCCAGCCAAATGCATTGTTGGCTTCTACTACTGGGTGCGCATAGCTAGATCGAGATAGAAATGGTACAGTACGGTACAAGAAGCAAAGCAACCACTCCATCATGTCCGTCCGCGGGGAGCTTGCTAAAATGCTTCTCACTATGATTCTTTTCCTCCTAATAAAGCACGGAAGCCAACTCTCACAACAGCAATTACACAATATGCTTCGAGGCCATGCGAAAACACTGGAGAATGAATGACCGGACCTCGCTCTACAGGTGCTATGGGCAGGTAATAAGAACCGTTTCCTCTCAAGAGCGTGTACTCCCGTGCCATGGGAATGAAATGGGAACATTCCTCTTTTGAAGGCCACTTTTAGTACAAGAAGCAATGACGAGTCCTACACTACGGTACAGCCTTTGGATTCTGAAGCATGCATGGTCTGCTTGTATCGAATACTTAGATACTAGTAGCGGGGTTAGCATCTTTAAATCTATCAAGCCAGGAAACCATGTTTTTTAAAAGTGCTGACTCGAATCGTGCATTCCTAGTTCCTTGAAGAGGAAGCCAAGTCCAGAGGAAAGCTTTTGCCCTACTAGAGAAACCTGGTTTCATTATTTCGGCCCGTTCAGCTGGAATTGTTGACCAAGAGTCGAGTCCTTCCACTACTCCAGACTCTAATTGTTTCACGAAACTGTACCGATACTCGTAGGGTACCGGTATCGGTTTGAGGTGAGAGCAAAGTCTTTGCTTGCAAGCTATCGCTACTCGAAGGAAAGTTTGAACAGTGCAGTCGTAGACCGGAAAGAAGGCACAAAAAATAAATGAGGTCTCTACTGTACGACTGTACCGGTACCCGGCCGATACATCGTAGGAGTAAAAATTTAAAATGTACTGGTACCTGCACCGGTACCGTAAGATCTTTGAAGCTGTCACGTGCCAATGACTCGACTCGACTTCAGAATGTTGGAATTCGTTGGAGAGTCGAGTCATCTATCGGTTCCATGACTCAATGTCAATTCTCCTCACAAACCACTTGCTCCAACCATTATTCCTCATCTCTCCGCGACTCACTCCAGGGTGTAAAAACAGCTCATTGCTGTCATTGATTTTCATTGATTTTCAAAAGACGGCCAGTGTGCGTCAGCACGAAGTTCGGAGCCATTTCCACTTGCTTCCATTCTTTGAACAAGGTGAATGTGCAGTACCAGCAAGTATGAACAAAGAAACCATAGGAGTTGCTACAGCTTTGGCAGGAGCAACCGCAGGACTTGTCTACTTGTACACTTCAGAAAGCATGAAGGGATCCAAGAAAAGGCAAGCTATTAGTGTGTTGTGTTGGCTTTTGAATCGAAGCATTGCCCACTCATTTGTTTCCGTGATTTGGGCTCGTTTACCATCGTCAGTGACGATTTGCCAGATATCTTTCAAGATGATACGCTGGGACCACAAGTCAAGAGGGTGATTGCCAAACACATGGACAAATTCACGTCGTCCGAGTCCATCATCAAGATCGTGCGACAGGTGAGTGTCACTGCCATCACAACGGCATCGTGATGGCATCATGCTGCTCACACGTTTTCTTCCTGCATCAACCAGCTGGACTTTTGGTACTCTCAAGGGCTCGAAGAAAAGGAAATCCTTGACATTGCAGAGGATCTCAGCGAAAAGGCGACTGTCCTTTCTTCTGGCTTCCAATGCCCCAAATTGAGATTTGGGAAAACCGAGATCCAGATTCCCATTATTACATGTGGAGGCATGCGAATTCAACAGACCTGGTGTCCCGACAACTTGCAACTGGCTCCAAGCCGATCCAGAGTATTGAAGGGCCCCTGCCAAAAAAATCTCATGAATGCAGTGCGGCTGTGTCTGAAAGTGGGCATAAACCACTTTGAAACTGCGAGGGTGTATGGGACTTCCGAGGCAAGTGCAATCATATATGGATTATCTCTGATTAAAGGAAGCAACTGACATTCATGCTGTTTCATTCTCTGGATTCTAGTATCAATTTAACGAAGCTCTTGGCAGCTTGATCAGAAACGGAGAGATCAAGAGAGAGGACTTTATCTTGCAAACAAAAGTAGCCCCAAAACCAACTCGCAAAGAGTTTGAGAAGCTCTTTGAACAATCATGGGCCAATCTCAAGGATTTGGAATACTTTGATCTGTTTGCCTTTCATTGTAAGTAGAGGGCCTCTGCCTGCATGGATTTTCCAGCAGACGCTACGTGCCCACTTACACGGTAGCTTGCATTGCCGCTTGGAAAAGGTGTCTCCACGAAGGAACAAACCGAATGGTTGCTCGCAGAAGGCGAGGATACCTGCATGGCGGCAGTCTTGGAATACCAAAGACAAGGAAAGATCAAACACATTGGTTTCTCAACGCATGGTCCAGCGGATCACATTCTGGAACTTATCAACTCGGAAAAGTTTGCATTTGTCAACCATCACTGCCACTACATGGGTAGCTATCATGCCGAAGGAACTCCGGATGGTGTTGGTGGACACGGCAATAAACATGCTGTCAAGAGGGCTCAAGAACTCGACATGGGTGCCTTTCTAATCAGCCCCATTGACAAGGGAGGCCACATGTACCAACCCAGTAAAACGTTTGCCCGAATATTGGGACCCAAGATGACTCCCATCGAATTTGGCATCCTCTCAGGGTTGGAATCTGGTCACCAAACCGCGAGCGTTGGTTTCTCGCGTGTGTGTGATTTGGAAGATGCCGTTTCAGCGGCTCGAATGTACACCAAAGAAGGCACGAAAGAGGCGCTAGCAGCAGCCAAGCAACGCATCGACGCCCAAATGGAAAGGGAGCTCGGGAAGGAGTGGTACGAGAAAGGATTGCTCAATCTACCAACGTGCGAGAACGAATCGACTAGTGGAACTGCGATGGGTCACGTTCTCTGGTACGGGCAGTGGGTGGAACATCTTGCCTTGATTTCGCTTGGGAGCTTCTAGTATTCTCAGTAGTTTCTCTCCGCGTTCAGGTGTTACAATCTCATGAAAGCGTTTGGGATGTATGACTTTTGCTACGCTCGATACAAGAACCTCAAGGGGTGTGCTTGGAACAAGAAGAAAGCCTTTGACGATAACCGGAAGGCCATGTAAGTTTGCTGGGGGCACGCAATTACAATAGCAGTTGCAGTGTCATGTGGGTGGCTTCGATTCCTCTCAAACATTATTCTTTTGGTTTTCCTGTCTTCGCAGGATCCCTGGAAACATGGGAAGGGCTTACCTTCCTGGCAAAGATTACAAGGAGGCGCTCAAGGACCACGACAACCCAGCTGCGGCACTCGCCAACATGAAACAGGTTGACGAATGGATGAAGATTGACCCCAAGGATACCAAGACACGCCGAGAAAATGGCTTTGACGAAGCATACGACTTGCGTGTGTGGGAGGAGTACGCTGGTAGTGACCCGGACGTCAAAGGTGTCGTATTGCAGAATCTCACCTTTGGCGTGCTGGGATGCGGAGGCGGGCCCACGAAGCAATCCGCTGACTTTGCGGCTAGACTGGCGCAGGAAGTAAAGAGTTGAGAATGCCCAGTTGGCTAGCTAGCTACATGTAGTATCGGTACTTCTTTGCTTATCAAAAGCCTGGTCCTGTACCGGTAGCTGGCTTCCACATATCTACCAGCTCTAAACCCCGGTTTTCTTCTGACCGAGGCCAGCAATAATACGTTTGATGGCCACGTCATCGCTCAACCAATGACTCAACCACTATTTCCTTCCTCTTCGTCAAATTCTCCACAGCCTCCTCTGCTAACCACATCGTAACTCCGTTCTCTCACAAACAAATCCAAGAGGAATAACTAACAACAAAGATGAAGCACATCCTGCTAGTATCCCAGCTGTTGCTCTTGGTTTCTCCTTGCTTCAGTCTGAATAGCTTGCTACCGAAATTCACATCGCCGTTCCAGCCTGCCGCCACTTCTGCCAAACTCTCCAACACTGCCATTGAACTTGAAGACAAGCTGCTGGAAGCAATCGAGAATGTTGAGGGACGTCTTGCCAACTCGGAAGAAATCAACTCTTTGGTCCTTGCTCTAGAGAGTCAGAAAGAAGCATGTATTCCACAGCCGGCCATTGCAAAAGAAGTCTACGGTCGATGGCGATTGCTCTACACAACCAACGCTGAAACCGCGAGCCCAATCCAGCGCAAGGCTGTGGATACCAGCAAATTTCCCATTTACCAAGATATTATTTTCAATACCGACAATCAACTGGTCGTGAGTCAGGTTGTCAAATTCAGTGATTCTGCCGAGTTGAAAGTGGATGCATTGGCATCCACATCTGCGTATCCTTTGGCGGAACTAACCGAACGCAAAAGCACCGGAACAGTGTTGGGTCTAAATATTTTGGGAGTCTCCTTGGTGGGAAAAGAGGCCGAGCCAGATCCGACCCGCCCGGATTCTAGGATTGACTTTGTTTTTGACGAAGGAAAGTTTGACTTTGGATCCATCAATGTCCCATACCCAGTTCCCTTTCGCTCTCCTCTCTTTCGGGATTGGGTCAAGGGATGGATTGATATCACTTGGTTGAGCGATAGACTTCGGATATCTCGAGGAAACAAAGGCAGCACCTTTATTCTTGTCAAGGAGGAAGATAACTAAATATTTGTTGCGTGTAACAAACAATCTGTCTTGGCTGCTGTGTTCTGCTTGGTAAAGCGCATAACCGCCTTGACGGCGTCCTTTTTCGCAAGGAGCATCGTCGGAAGGAACATCAATAGCAACAGCGAACCACGCAGTCTGGCTTTGACGTGGCATCCCACAGTTTGGTTTCGGTGAGGACCATTGAAAGCGTACACCTTTTGAATTCAAACGCCTTCGGCATTGAAATGCTTTGTACCTGGAGCTCCCTATCATTTGATTTTTTATGAATTACATGTATGAGTTGTTCTCTATTATTTATGCGCTACAAGCTCTCTTTTTACTCTTGAATGGCTGAAACCAACTTGTTGATTGCCGTTGCTGCCTCGCACAAAGCCACGTTTTTCTTTAATGCTTGTCCTCGGAACGACGTGCGGCAAATGGGGCAGCAGCCATTCACTTGGCTTTTGTGGCTCAGGCACATGGAATGGCCACAGCGAAAAGTAGAGGGAAGTCTCTCTTCGTTCTCGTCATAGTTCATCAGGCAGATTGGGCACTCGATTGAGGAGGTGGCCTCCTCAGCGAGCTTGGACAATTGTGGTTTGGCTCTTGGATTCTTGGGGCGGGGACGTCTCCTCTTGCCATCAGCACGGCCACTACCGGGCTTTGGGCGTCGTGTTGTCCTGGCTCTGCGCGGGTTGCCATCTGGATTGGTGTTGCTGGTTCCTGCCACGGAATTGTCGGTCACTGCGCCGGCTGCCTCTGAGTTGCTGGTTGATGTGACGACTGTCTCTGAGGTTCTGCTGCCATCAGCGATAGCCTCCGAAAGGTCAATTGACGCTTCTTCAAAAGCAAGATAAACGGATTCATCATCAGATACTTGATCTGCCAGAGAAGCTGTGTAGGCAATCGAGAGCTGCAAGAACTCCGAAAGCGACGTGCTCTCGGCTGTGGCTCTGGCTACACCTGCCATAGCGTTGCTTGATGTGATGGAAATGCTGTCGTTTCTGGGTGGTCGGATGCGACTTGGGCGTCGGGGACTTCTGCTGCTTCCAGAGAGGCGTCCCGAACTACCGTCGCTTTCTGGTCCTGGTCCTGCCTCTCTTCTTCTGGCGGGAGCGGCAGTTGATCTTCTTCTTCGACCAACTCTGCCGCGTCGAGCATCAAAATCTGATTGCCTCGGACAAGAACCAAGACCATGGGCGGTGAAGTCCATGCTGTCGTTATTGTAAGAAAGAAGCAGCTGGGTGTCGTCTCTGTCTAGCGTGTCTAGCGTGTCTAGCGGTATGGTGCTGGATATGGCGTTTCGGCGCCTGTGTCTGTGTCTGCGTGCGTTGGGGGAGGTAAGATCCCTGATATCAGTTAATGAGTAGTTCATGAGAGGAGTATCTATGTGATCGGCTTCTTGTTCGAGATACCACGAAGGATCTCTCTGTCGTCGATGTTTGTAGTGAGAATCCGTTGTTGCCATTGCACCATTGCACCTCCAGCCAGGCAAAACTGTGCAAAAGCTACCAGGTAGAGTACGACGTAGCCTCATGTAAAAGCACGACTCGTCGTTCATCCCCACGTTTGCGAGAAATCTTTTCAAAAGTTGGGGAAATAGCACTTTGAAAGTGGTCAGATTAATCCACATCTCCCAACATTTATTTCTCCTTAGCTGCGAAAGAGGGTCATTCTGGGGCAACCTGTTGATGCCTGTTTTTAGCCGTGCTTGAAGGAAAACTTTGTGGATGCTCGAGAGAAAAAATGAGGTGCAACGAACCCGACCGAACAAAAGATAATGGTGTCGATCAAAGCATGTAGGTAAACGTAGCTATAGCACAGTGCAGTTGGTGCCTATGCATACGATTGAATCACCAGCTAGCTAGACCACAACAGAAGTGAGGCAATACCATAACGTGCCCTACTCTATACCGCTGTCTTGCCGTACAGGTCAATGCGTCGAATGTCACCACAACTTGTTCATTGTACGTCATTATACATTATGCATCTACTCTATGGAATGTTTTGAGATGTTTTGAGCTGTCGGCTTTGCTAGCTAGTATCCAACTGGAGAACCACCTTTTCGGATATCACAGACAGCCTCCATCAAGCCTGTTTCCGTGTCCACTGCCACAGCTTGGACGGTCCCAGCGTAGTCAATATCCACCAACGGGTGGCCCCGCTTTGCCAAAGCAGTTCTAGTTCGGTTGGAAACCAGCAGATTGATCTCCGAAGGATGTACAACGCTGTTCTCAAGAGTCGTGGTTGCAGCCCCGTGGTAGATTAGTTGGTTGTGGATCCGTGGTTTTGCCACGGAATCAAAGAGTGGTTTGCCAAGCAACAAGTAGTTGATGATTACCTGCAAAACGGCTGTGATGATCTTGGGGCCACCAGACCCACCAAGCACAAGTCTTAGCTGTCCGAGTCTATCCGAATCCGGGCTCGCTTGAAATACCATGGTCGGTGACATGGAAGACAAAGGCTTCTTGCCTGGTTGAATAAAGTTTGCCTCAGAAGGCTTGAGACCAAAATAGTTGGGCCTTCCAGGATTGCCAAAGTCTGGATAGAGATGGATGCCAGGTTAGACCAAGATTTCAATACCACCGACGTTCTATTGCGGCACAAGAGCACTTACCATCCATCTGATTGTTCAGAACAATACCTGTAGATTCACTGACAACACATGCACCAAACTGCGCATTGACCGATGTTGTCATTGCGACTGCGTTGCCATGCTTGTCTACCACAGAAAGATGCGACGTTCCGTGATCCTCCAAATACCCAAACGGGTCGTACAATCTTCGTCGTTGCTGTTGCTGTGGTTGTTGACTCTCCTTGAGATATCGTCTTCGATCGCCCTCTTTGGCATCAGTGGCTTTCTTTTGACCGTCTGTATCATGCAGCTGCGCAAACCTGGCTCCTCCATAGTGAGAAAGATTCAGAATATCATCATCGAGAGTGAGTCGTCTTAGTTCCTCCATGTACGGGCCTTGCACAAGGGCGTCGACGGCATCTTGCGTTGTCGCGTTGGTATCATTGTTGCGAATTGGGTATGCCGGATCTGCCAAACTCATTCGAATGGCAAACACATGCTTGAGAGCTTCCACCATGCGATGTACGGACAAAGTATCAGCATATGAAGCCAAGGGAGCAGCATATCCCTTGAGAAAGCGTAGTGCGCCAATAATCGCAGCACCACCAGAGCTTGGCGGCGGGACGCCTACAACACGAAAGCCAAAGACATTGTCTGACATGGCGGGTGACCGCAGTGTTGGGTAGTACTTCTCAAAGTCTTCCTTGGTCAGGATTCCTCCCTCCTTTTGAATTTCTTGTGCTAATTGTTCGGCTCTCTGGCCAGTGTACACGGCATCTGCTCCCTCTTTCATGACAGCTTGGAGCGTCTTTGCCAGCTCTGGGTTTCGCAGGATTTCTCCTTCTTTCAGGATGTGCTTCCAATCGTCATTGTGCGTCAAGAGCTTCCGCAAGGTTGGAAATCCTCCATGAGACTTCTGTTTTATTTGGAATGTACGAATGTCCTGTGCCAAGTGGTTGTACACAGGGATTCCATCTCGTGCCAACTCCATGGCCGGTTGAACCACTGTGGCCCAATCCAGCTTGCCATGCCGTGCATGGGCCAACTCCAGACCACGCAATTCTCCAGGCACAGCCACGGCTAGACCACCGTACAAGGACGCATCAGGTGGAACCCCCTCAGTTTCATACATATAAGTCGAGGCTGCTTGTCCCGCCACATCGCGACAGTCAATCACTTCCGTGATCTTATCATCTCCTTGCACAGAAACAGTATTGGACTGGTTTCTGGCATCATGGAATTTGGGCAGCTTGTTCTCATCCTGAGTGGAAGAACTGGCATGAATCAAGATAAAGGCACCACCACCAATGCCAGAGGATGAAGGGTTGGCGACGCCCAAGCACAAGGCCGTGGCCACGGCGGCATCTACGGCATTGCCGTCCAAGTCTCGCAACATGGATAACCCAATTTCGGAACATTTTGGGTGATCGGCAGCAACGGCTCCATGTTCAATATCCTTCAATGATGCAAAGGATTTGAGGTCTTGCAGAGCTGATGCTTGATGATGGCTATCACACACCTGTGGTTCTCCCGAGTAAACTGGATGTTTCTTCTCTTGACCACGTCTGCTGCTGCTTCCAACGAGAAGAGAGACTAGAGCCACAACAACCACAATAATGCTGACAACCATTGACCGAGAGGTACAAAATCTTTTCTTTGACAAGGACGGCAAGACACGCTCTCCATCTCCAATGGTTGTATCATCCTCAAACTCTTCCTCCAGTGGTGGACTCTCATACCCTGCATCAATGGAAAAACGGCGGAACGTCTTGGACATGATGAACTCAAACATATCTTTGGCTGAATTACGTCCTCTCTGGCTACCACTCTGGCTGCTTTGAGGGCTTTGCTGGTACGACCACCTTCGAAACGATAGAGTATCGCGAGACGGAGAAAAATCGTCAGTGGCAGCAGCTTTAGACTTTGGAGGCATCTTGTTGTGTTTGAAGGAAGGAACTTGAAAGGGAGGGTAATTGCTTATCTTACGGAAGTATCTTTCTTTTGCGGAAGCCACAACAAAAAGTTATGCACAAGCGCTCTTCAACCGAAGTAATGATGCATGTGAGCATGTGAGCCATCTTGACACCGTGCTGCATCACATCTCGCCGATACAGTGATGTCTGGTAAGCCGTTCAGCTCTCTTCCGCCAATCCAATGGGAACGAACTTGCAAAAATGAAGCGGCGGCGAGTGATGTCATCGGCCTTCTAAATTCCGAGCGACCACTCACCTCTGCGTGACATCCCACTCACCTCTAGAATAGTTTTGCCCTCTAAATCCAGTCTACTAGACTATAATAAATCTCTGACAAAACTCTAAATCCGGCTTGATTCTCGGCTAACGCACAAACCCCACCAAGATGCGTGCAGTCTGGTTCTACGGTGTACGGTAGCACGGTAGCTACCCAGCCATTAGCTCCCGGCCCCAATGGGATTTGATCCTTCCTAACCCATTAGCTCCCATTGCAAGTTGAAAATAGAAAGTTTGAGTGCTGCAGCCAAGGATGGATTGTACGAACGCCAAAACTAGGATCAATGAACTCGCTTGAAGAACATGAGGAGAGAGAAGGGGGAAACTACATTCTTGCCTTCTCTGCAATTGTCCTCAGCCATTGGCACTTTTGCTGACATACATGACATGGGATGTGCAGAGCAATAGTGCTATCAAAGATAGCCGAGGTACGGTACTCATCTATCTTTGTGCCCTACCGTACTGTATCGGAATGCGACTGGTGGGGTTCAGCCACACACAGGGTGGTTCTGGATGTCTGGAGGAGCAAGTGAGAGTTCTCTGGTAGTCCAGTCGAGGAATAATCCTGCAGTGTGACGACTGTACCACTTAGTTGTGCGGAGCGGAAGCGGGTGATGTCTCCCTTGTCTCTTTGGTACCGGTACCGGTATGACATATGCATACAACATACCGGTACCGGTACAGTGGCAGGATATCGTAGAGAAGAAAAGAAGGTACATGACCGTGGTGGTCTGTTTGCTTTTCGCGGCTGCAACTGCGCTGTGTGGACTCTCATCGTTGTTTCTCCAGTTCGTCTTTGGTTTCACAGAAGCAAGACTGTGAGTATGAATTGAACAACAGTTTTTCCTATTTTATAATGTTGTTGACTTTTATAACCCTTTTTTCCGTCGCCAAGTATGCCGGCAGTTGTTTTGTCGTTTGGTCGACCCCAACCACGAAACAGATCTCGGACATGCTATAGGGAAGGCCCTTCAGGGGAAATTTGTCATTACTGTTGGACCAGATGGGGATACCGGCAAACAACGACTTGACGAGCCGTCTGTACTACTCGATGAGCATTCGGCAAGGGAGCAACCAAATTGTAACAACCTCTATGACAATGACGGAGAATTTCGCGATCTGATTCAGTTGCTCCAAAACCTGGTCAGAAAATGGTGGCCCGTTTACTGGCATGGTGACACCGGACAACACTCCGGGACGCAGCGGCTGCGGTGGAGGAAACGCCGGCGGAGGAGCCCCTGCTGTGGCGGGCTAGCAATGTGTCCAGCCTGGCCCTCCAACAATTCTCTTGGCGAAGATGAAGCTGCATTGGGAATTTTCAATGAATACATGTAGATGTACGTAGTTGCTGCTACATCCGGGGGGTGTTGTTTTGCAGTGTACTCTGAAAGAAGGTGATAAGTATATGCTATTTGTCAGATATTGTCAGACGGGAAAACATGGTACCTATAAAACTTAAAGGTGAGGTATCCTCGCCACCAGACATTGGGAAACAGAAGTCTAAGGTACTGTTACAGAAATTACATGCTTGCTTCTGCTGCTAGCTAGCTCTCGTTCCGCAGTCATCCTGATGAGCCATGAGCTTCTTCTGCCGCAGCCGCAGACCCAAAAAGCCCCCAACATCATGCCCTGATATTAGCTCCTGATGCAAGATTGACAGTAACTGTTGGTTGAACTCCTTTCTACCGGCAGCTAGTTAGCTAGGTGCAAGAGTGGGCGGTCTTGACTTATTACTCTGCTACAACAGCTACAGTCGATCTGTCGTACTACATGTATGCATACATGCATGCTGCTGTACTACATGTACTTTACTTTGTTTTTGCCAGACTGTGACCACTTTTGCCAGATTTTGCCAGATCCCACGCTGCACGCACACCTTTCCACGTTTGAAGCGACATGTGAAGGAACACGACTGCTCTTCTTGGCGCAACCAGGCTCTTCTTCTTGGAAGCAAGTTCGACTTCTAGCTAGTACGGTACCAGCCAGCTAAGTTAGCTAACAAGCAATTTGACACGAAGCAGCAACCGCATTACCACAGCAACTACAATTCAACGAACAACAACAGCAAGAGCATCAGCAACAACAAGTGTCAGCCATGTCATCCGAAGAAGAATCGTGGGTGACGAAAGCAGCAGCAGCCGATGGTGGCAAGGGGCTTGCCCTGGAAGAGTACGATCCCGATAATGAGGTTGACATGCTTTTAATCTATAAAGCCTTGAAAGAAGATAATCCGCATGCACAAAGAAGACTCAAGAAATTCATACGATCCATTCGAAGCAAGCAGCCGCAGCATGCAAATGGTGAGAAGAGATTTTGATTCGTTTATTGTAATGTTGAATTTATTGGAGTCGTCCTTATCCCCCAATCCCTCCCAACAGCCGCTCAGGCGTGTCTACGTGTAGAAGAATTAGTAAGAACGGAGCTCAAGGGTTGGAAGGCCAGTAAACCAGAGCTTGATCCCTTTCAGATCGACGAAAAAGCTGCCTTTTATTGTTTTTGGAGGGAAGACCGAGCAACGACCGATGGGCTGGCCTGCATACCAGCTGTCCCCAACTCTTTAGGACTACGACCATCGCTACTTCTCTTTGACCTAGAGAATGAAAGGCACAAGGTCACCAGGGCTTACCAATACATTGATACCTCTCAGAAAGTGGCTGCAATCAACTTGTATGGGACGTCTGGTGCTGGGAAGACCAGAAGCATATTTGAATACCTCTCCCACAACTACGGGTTTTATTTGAATGCTGGGGCAGATGCCATCTACAACCCTGGAACCATGGATTTCAAATCCTTGCTTTCCCAATGCCTCAAAGAAATCAAGAAGATCGATTCAGATGACAACGAAACCAGAAAGGAGGAAACTGGAACCAACCTTGCGTTTGTTACAAGGGCACTAAGTGCATTGCTAAGTGTGCGGACAGCTGTTCTCAACCACATCAATGCCATTCTAAGCTCAAAGAAAATGGAAAGCCTGACATGCCATGAATGGCTGTTAGTTCAGCTTTTCCCGGATAACTACCTGGGAAGCGACGTCTTTCAGACGGTCTATGTCGCCCTTTTCAACAACCAATTCAAGTACACACAGGACACCAACAATGGAACACCAAAAATGAGCTGTTTCTTGGATGAAGCACAACTTCTTTTGAAGGAGCTAGTGGGTGCATTCTATTCCAGTAATGGACATGAGAAACGTTCTGCTTATTACGCTTGTCTACAGGGCCTGAATCTGCTTTCATTATCTGATGGTATCATTCATTATCCTTGCTTCAGCGGTACTGGAATGTCAATCGAGGATTTTCATGCTGAGATGAAATCCTTGGTGAACAAACCAAAACTCAAGGACCATCATATTTTTTTTGGGCAACTCAAGACCATGGAAGCGGCAGATGTAATTGAGTACATCAGCAAGTTTTTGGATATCAGTTCATTGGGGGATGACCTTGTTGACCATGTAGGCAAATGGTTGACGGGGCGACCACGGTGGGTAGCAACGTTCATTGAGACTTATCTTGAAAAGCCAGAAACAAAATATCCAAGGACAGATGGAAGATTCAGTAAGGAGGAACTACCTTTTATCAAGGCGTTGAACCGATACATTGAGATTTGCACGGAGAAATCGAGCACAAATCCAAGATGGTCCTGGGACTTGCAGGATAGATCAGCCTACAGTGCGGTTCGCCATATGTATGATGAGGGAAAGGGAAACAAAAACAAGATGGAATGGTCAGAGGTGCACTCCACTTTTCAGAGGGCGGTGTTTGATTTTTCATTGGGTGGCAAGGTGCAGGTGGTGGATGGTCATGCAGCAAAGCTGATTGAGCAGGGGATTGCAGCTGTTGACATCCCTTCGACTGATGACTCATCCAGCCAATACGTGTGTGCCAAAGTCTGTGAACCCTTGATCATCCAGGCAAGCCTCAACCTGTTTGGACTGAATGAATTTGTCACTAAGAAGCTTGTATCTACTGGAAGTGATTCTGAGAAGGGCAATGTTTTTGAGGAGTTCTTGCTTCCGTCTGTCCAGCATAGGTTTTTGGAAAATATACAGTCTCAATTTGGGAAAGACTTTCTGAAGGACCACATGGTACCAGGCAGGTCTTCGTATGGGGTTCTTGCAACGAAGTGCGACAAGCCATCTGATACAATCAAGTGGACAAGGAGCAGTTTGGAAGCTCGTTTCGAAGGAGCATTTGCCCCTTTTTGCTTTCCCGATACGCTGTTCGGCCCGGATTTGACATTTTTCATGCGGAATAAGAAGAATTGGGATGGCTTTCACTTTGTGGTGGTACAGGCAAAGCTGAAGTTTGAGCTCAACGTAGCGGATGCGCTCCGCACCCTTGTACCCGAGCTGTTTTTTCATAAGAATAGAGGCACCACGCCGTCTTCCAGCTTGGAACCTGAGATTCGGCAGCGCTGGACCGAAGTTGAAAACAATTTATTCAATATGAAAGAAGAGACGCAAGTCGCCAACCAAAGGAGCACCCGAAGCACAAAGTCTCAATCAGTCGTGGTGAAGAAGAGGCGACAGCGGCCTGTTCTTCGAGTCTTGGTCGAATTCCCAGCTCGGAGAAATGAATCCGCGAACTCGGGCCCAGTTCATCCCTCAGCCTACAAGAGTGGTCGCAAAGGGGATGGTCTGCATGATCATCTCATGACATTCGATGAGGAAAATGCACACTTGCTGTTTGGTGTTAAGGATGTTGATACGCTCAGGAAGATCAAACGCCGGCGAACGGCATGACGATGCTCTTAGCACACAGCCCTGAGGTATGAGTGTTGGCTGATGTTGTTGTACTGAAGACAGTTGACCACGGCTACTTTTCCTCACCTCATTTGCTTATGTTGTAGATGGTTGCCTTTTCTCTCTCAAGGGAATCGAACAATCGAACCAGCCATCTTGCTGGCTGCATTAGAGCCTTCACGAGACTTAATGGTACTCTTACGTTTACATGTTGCAAAGAGGCCAGATTCTGCCTATTAATAGTTTATTGCCAAAGATACACTATCAGAATAGCCTACGCTAGTGATGTCGGCGGGCTATCCTGGCCAGCTCCTTGACATGCAGTGCTTGAATACATTCACCCAGCGTCCCATTCTCTACTAGCTAGCTAGCTAGTGCCTAGCATTATGGGACCAGCCTGATGTACGTGAGAGATCACCAATAGACAAGATCCGAGGGGGCCAAGCATAGCGCGTGAGACAATTAAGCCGACAAAGATGTACACACCGATCAAATGTGCATCTAGAGGCATACATGTCGAAACTATTATTACCCCCTCGGGTCTCCCTGGTCCCCCTACTGTTTTTTCTATAGTAATTGGCAATTTTGGGGGACCGACCTTCAATTAGGGTTCCCCCTAAGATTTAACAACCCGGGGACCGGGGGACCGACCTTAATTTAAGATTCCCCTTGGTTTCATAAAGATTTAAAGGAGGGATTTTTCAAACTCTAGCCACCGCGGCGTATGAGCGGACCCACCATAAGATTTAAGGGACAAGGACTTTTTTCAAACGCTAACCCTAACCCTAAACTTCCTAATTACCAAGCATTCGTGACCGAGCATCTGAGTTGGAAAACTGAAACGGAGGTCGATTGGAGGTCGATACTGTAAATTGCCGAGTTATTCCCGTTCTGTAATGCCAACCCGCTCGTTGCCACGTCTGGCGTCCCATGTTGTCTGTCGTACGTGTCGGCTCGCGCTTGTATAATCCCCAGCATAGATTCTTTCGTCTGTCGTCAACCGGTGACATATCTTTGTCATTGGTGCGTCATTGTTCTCAAGAGATCTTTGTCATTGCACGAGCAATGACAAGATCTCAAAAGATCACGCAGTTAAAAACTTGCTTAATACTCACAATCGATCATGCCTTCTTCTTACAATTCACAAGACACCCCTGTACTAAAATTTATCGACGACATGAAGACCCACAACACCAATGCCACTAAATCTGCTTCTGGTTTTGCGGAACGCCGAGCCAAGAACCTCATGCTGGCTACTCAAGACTACTCTGATCTGGAGTTATTGGGATTGGTGATCAAAGACTGACGTGTTTTTGACAGTACATCTAATTTTGGAGTGGATGATTTTATGCTCCTTATCGCCGAAGGTGTCCCTGATGAAAATTTACTTATTGAAGTCTTGAAGCGCAAGAAACTCCATAATTACTTGACTCTTCTTCATCCCAACGCGTCTAACACTCTTTCGATTGATGAAATCATTAAAGAAATAGAGATCCGCAATCTTCGCAACCAGTTGACGAAGATTGACCGTCTTCGTATTGCCCAGGCTGCATCGCCGGAGTTGCCTGCCTCTCAGATCCATCGTAAAATGGACAAATAGATATCACGCGAAGTGGGTTTCAAAACCACGCGGGTTTGACAAACGAGAACAGTAAATCATACCATAAATTAAATTTCTCGCAAAATGAAGAACGTCTTCTTTTTTATTACTTTCTGTGTGTGCGCTTCGTACGTTAACGCGATGTGCGGCACAAATGACGCAACAAATGACTTCCAATGTAAAACTGTTATTTCAGGCTATAACGGTGCTGAAAGATTTAACAGTAATTACCACTCTACATTCCCCCATGGACACACAAACGCTTACCTGTTTAATCCTGATTATCCTCCGAATACTTGTACCGCTCTGGCTGGTCTTGCTTGCCATTGGCATTGCTTACAGGCCATCGCCGGTACTAACGACCTTAACTGGCTCGTAAATTGCGACGGCGATTTCACCGGTTGAGCTGATCTCCCTAGCTTGCACCATGCTGCAAGCCGTAAAGGAGTCGAGTATATTACTTGTCGTCTTGCTCAGGGTTGGTCACAATACGGTCATTTGCCACAGTAAACCAATGACGAAAAACGAATTACCTAGTAAAAAATTTATAGAAAGTTTAGCCATATTGACACAAAATCGTTTTGCAATAACATGAGCGATCGTTATTACAATCGCTTCCTCGGTAGCCCCAATGTCGCTGCCGCGGCTCCTTCAGATGACAACGAAGATAACATCAGACAACACGCTGAGGAATATGCAAGAAGTGGCCTTGACGTGAGAGGTCCTTCTATGTCTACCGACGCAGTCGATCGTCTCTGTTTTCTCGAAGACATGGGGGACGATGAGCTTCTCAGTGCTGTTGTTGATCGCCCTTTACTCATGAAAAAAATAATGATGTTGATGCCCGATCAAGATGTACTTCAGGATGTCAAAGACAAACCCTTTCTCCATCGCCAGATTATTAAATCGTCTCACCCACGTCTTTTGCTTAAGTTTTTCCTCGAAGCCGTACACGCAAAGGTGTTTTCACTCCCACAGATACAAAGCATCCAAAAGGATCTCTACAAAGCCTCGCGCAGCGGTTAGTACACATTTACAAGAGACAAGGAGGGGTAGGGCCGTAGCCCAGAAAAAGTCCTTTTTGCACGACTCATAAGGTTAATGACCTAAATGACCTTTAACAGACATTCGTTAAGTCTTTAGAAAATTAGGGGAACCGACCCTTATGTGACAAGCTGAGTACAATGACTTTTGCAGTATTACCCCTCCTTGTCACTTGTCACATTTGTACGTGATTTTACGTAGCCCTGGTACTAAATTGCCTTGTCACAAAACCACACGAGACAATGAGCGTCCAGTATCCAATGAGACAAAAGCTTGGTGTCTACCGAGCCACTCATCGTTATTAAGCTCGTTTTCTCGTTTGGGGGCATGGCAATCTTAGCCCAGTCTCCTTAACTCTAGTATAAATGACATGTGACAAAAAGCCCCCCCGGCGCATGAGGGGCAGCCCCCCGGCGCTTGAGGGACAGCAACCCGGCGCCTGAGGGGATATTATCATAATAGTATGTAGTTGCTTATACTCTTGTTAGAGATAGGTAGCTTTTTAAAGGTATCTTAGGTCTTACTGATAGAGTAACTAGTAACTAAAATTCTAAAAGGATAATAGTAATTAGCCCCCCGGCGCTTGAGGGTATTACTAATACAGTATAATATATAATAATATAGTAAAAATACAGACTATATGGTAATGCTTGTTAGGCTATATACAGTGCTATAATTCATGACGAGATAGGATTTTATATAAAAGCAAAACTGATAGTATTTTCAAGTCTGATTACAATATAATACCTAAATTAATTCTGTATAAGAGTAATGCTGGTTGTGAACACGACCGAAACTAATAGTACCTCTTTAGTACAACTGTTAGTGCCGAAAGTATAGTGAACTGATAGCAGTCATTCCTCTTGCATTTACTATAACTCAGCTAAATAACGCTCCATAGTACCAAAACTCTGATGTGATTACTGTATATTCCAGCTTAACTGGGTCACGATTCGGGATTCGAAAGCCGAAACTAATCCCGAATCGATGTCCAGATTTAACAACTTTGGAATTACATGCAACGGCGCTGACCTATTTACACGTGTAAGATGGTATAATAGGCCACAGCCGTATAAGGATAACGATAATCATTCACGATACCAATGACACGTCACAGCTGACTTCAAAGAATCAGTGTGTGGAACTTCATACCAATGCAATCCTTTGCAGTCTACGAGTCATGCACAGCAATGCTGTCATTGGTATTGCTCATTTCTGCCTTGATTTGTAGCTCATAAAATCACGATGGCCCGTATCAAGAGCACCCCCGTGAAGAACCGAGAACCTACTGTTTCTTATATCAATAGTAGTTTTTTCGACAAACTGGACCCACCGATCACTCGCAGGCTCCATCAGAGAGTTCCAATGACAGGAAATAAAAATCTCACGCGTGTTGACGTCCTACGAGAAGCCGTCAAGTTGATCCAAGACGAGACCGAAGCGCTGGAAGCGCTCAATTGCCGCCAAGCCGTAAACGAGATTGCGAAAATGTTTAACCTTGGATCCGCGGAACTCTGGTACTATTACTCTTATGGGGAGGAAGAGGCGGAACGTCTCTTCAACATCTCATCGTGTCCAGCTCCCGAAATGTGCCAACCGGAGGTTGAAACACAAGAAACCCACAAGGCGGAAGAGTGGTGAGGGAGCTTGACCGTGGTCACCGAGATGTTCTTAGCTATATTGTCAGTGCTATGTAAGTGTGTGGCATTATAAAATCTATGTTCATCCTCTTCTAATGGTTAGAATAAGCTAGAAAGACTTTGTGTAAAGGTGAAAACCTGGACTACTAGAGTTAAAATCTATCGTACTTGCGGACAAGGTGTCCTGGACCTTCTGGGCCGTCTGGAGGGCCAAGTCGTACCTTCCGTTCCTAAGGTTGTGAATCACATAGGTGTTGAAGTAGACAGCCGACGCAATCGTATCCTGGTCTTCGGTCTTCCTGACGATTTCATCACGGAAAAGGCGCTTGGAACCGTCGAGGTTCATGTTGTTGTCTCCACAAAACTTGATAAGCTTTTCCTTCCTCTTCGCCGCCTTCTTCGTTTCGGTAACATTGGGCTTCTTTGTTCCAGGGAATACGTCGTCACCAAGAGCGATGGGCCTTTCGCGCTTCAAGTGCATAGCTTCGAGGACATTGATAAAGATCTCAGGCTTCTCGGCAACGGCGGGTGGCTTCTCGGCAACGGCGGGTGGTTTCATGGCAACGGCGGGTGGTTTCTTGGCAACGGAGGTAACGGGGGTACCCCAGTCCAAAGTTTCTTCTTCTTCTTCTTCTAGTTCCTCAAGCTTCTGCTTCTTTTTGGGGCCACCAAAAAAGGTGGCGTCATGTTCGACAAGGTAGTCCCAGATACCACCAATAGTCTTTTCAGGAACCAATGTCCAATCCAAGACGTCGTGTTCGTCCTCTTCCTTGACGCGAAAGCCAGCGTTCCAAAAAATCCCATTGACGACGGTCTGGTTCTCTCCGAGGGTCTTCTGGTTGAAGCACCTAACCTGTTGACTGAGGAACTCAGCAAAGAGCGGCTTCAAGGAATGACCGTTGTAGTCAGCGGCCCAGATGGCTTTCATGAGACGGACTTTGTCTTCCTTGGATCCCCAGTTGCTACCGTTGTCCCAACCGGGCATCTTGGGCATCCTGATGAATTTCTTCGACATGATCTCTGTTTCTTTTTCCTAATCGATGAACTATATTTTGTGAGCTCTAGACTGAAAGGATCGATCGTTGGTAGAGCGGAGACAAGCCCCGGTGTCGAAGAGAGGCAGTGACGTAAAAACCTAGTGAAAATATCTCAAATTACCAAACAGGGATGGGCCGGGCGGGCACTTCTAATAATTCTTATTTTTTTCCATTTTTGTTTTCTTAGGTTACGCTCTAAGCAACGGTAGTGAATATAGTCGTGCGTGCACTTTTGAAGTGCATTGAAACATGGATTAAAATGGACACACTTACCCCGCAGGGTGAATAGGAAACCTGGAATGTAAAGTCTATGAGCGAAGCGAAGGAATAGGGGGAGGTCTGAGGACCCGGTAGTGTGGCTTAGAGTGCCCAGAGGGCACGTGACATTCCAAACCCACATGTTGGTGTGTGGTGGTACGCATCGGTCTCATATTTTTGAAGAATGAACAAATGGTTAAGAGACCCAAGACAACAACCCTCGGATTTTCCGAAGGTAAACGATGGCAGTACTCCGTATTCAATAGGATGTCAATATAGCGACGTTATTCAATTCGAACTAGAACCCAACGATGGGAATTATGGCTTCGCCTTAATTCCTGGCTTTAAGGTGCAGGCTGTGTCCGGCCCTTTGCGCGAGTACAAAAACGAGGAAGCCATCGTAGTAAGAGACTACGCTAGTTTGAATTTGAGGTTGAATCACAGAGCACGGACGAATACGTTAACGCAATATCCAATTTTGCAGTATCGTCCCTTAGTAAAATGCTGGAGGGTTTTATCACAACAGGTAGTTTTCAAATGCATGGAACCTACAAAAAATAGCCTGAAATGGGAATCAGTACGCGTCGATTCCCGTAATTTCGAGAAGTTTCTGTGGGAGTCAGATCCTGGGACTCATTACACTGGTTTAACTCCCATTCCTATGTATAAGTTTGCCAAAGATTGGTTGAAAGATCCTACATACAGCACTGGGAGCATGAAAGAATTAGAATCATCCTACTTCCAGGCCAACCTAAACCACGATACATGGCCTTGGAAGTGTTTGTGTTGTCTGAAATTCTGCGACACGGATGAAGCTGGCGATACCGCAATGGATCCTGTAGAGGATCCTGTAGAGGAACCTGACGAAGACGACAGCGTAGACATGGGTCAATTTGACCCAACCGAACCTATGCCAGATGTCCCCGATGAAGAAGATGCCTTCGAACCCACGGATCAACCACCCACTAATGGCGATGGAGATACAGGAATGCCTGACTCAGGCGACCCTGGTCCAACAGACGATCCAGTACCAGTCACGTTTCCGCCTGTACCTCCAGTGAAGTTTCCTGCAAGACCTCAAAATCAAGTCTACACAGGCGGGAAACCACCAAAAAAGAAGAAACCATCAGATGCCGGTACAGACGAACCAACAGAGTCGACATTGGCAGAAGACCCGGATTCTCTATGGAACACGTTGGAGGATATTGATATCGAAGTCACTGACTTCCCAAGTCCCGTATTAATAGACGAAACACCAGATCCTTTGGTATTTGAAAGTCCAACTACTAACCCAAATAATATTCCTCTTGACGACAATGGCAACGAAGATTATAGTAACTGTACCACACAGTACAACGATTTACCAATTGAACGTCCCGAGATTAAAACAAACAATGACGCTTTAGGTAACCACTTAGACGAAATGAACGCGGTTACAAATAAAATCAACGCTTACCGCCAAGCCAATGGCGTGGACCCTCTACAAATTGATTGGAGATACGTGCAACAGGCTCAAGACCAATGTAATTGGGTTGCCAACAATTTACCAAAAAGCGACGAAGTCGTTTCCCACCAATTGAACGGGTACACCATAGGTGGCATAGCAGCGTCCCATTGGACTGATAGGGCTCTTTTAAGCCCCCAATTACCTGATGACGCCATCGAACTAGTTGTCTTGAGCAAGTTTTCCGATGCTGTCGACACCTGGCTTAACAGCCCTTTTGGACATCCTGATTGGTTGAAATCACCACAATACAAGAAGATGGGATTCTCTTGGAAGTCTACCATAGGCTATGCAGGAGCAAACGGGGGTGTTGGGTTTTTATGGATGTCGAAAGATTCTACACCAACACCAGAAAGGGAACAACCAGACATGGGTGATCCCGAAGATTTTAGCGCTCGCGAAACAGCACACGAGATAGTGTCACATAAACACGTTTCTCCATTTAAATGCGCTGACAATCCTGATGGCCCAGATGAATTAGTGTACGATTCAAACGCCAAATTACCAGAAGCATGGTACGAAAACTTGAGCATCGATGACATGGCTTCTATTGACGAGGTTCTCCGTGACTCGTATGATCCCGTACAGTATTATGAGAGTCCCGCTGGACCTGGAACTGTCTTCGAACCAGACAGTCAACCGCATTTGTCAAAAAATTCGTCTGTTTGGCCTAACCCTAGAGAGATGCCAATTCCTAGTATCTCAACAGTATACAAGTACGACAACACTACTTGCGGCAAATATATAGATATGTACGGTGGTACTGCACCAACTACATCCTCCAGTTGGATTTACAAAGACAGCAACCCTACACCTTACGAAGATGTGAGAATCGGTGAAACCACAACGGAACGAAGACACCGTTTAGCAAAAGAACAACAATTTCTAGCCTTGTTGGATAACAAATACGGAAATCTGAAGACCCCCCCAACTTTACCTGTATGGGTGAATATTGACAAATGGAACGACGCACGTGTTGCGCAAGATAGAGTGGAGACCGAAGAAGAGGTTCTTTATGCCGACTTTGGCAAGTTAATCTACGAACTTGCCTATACTCTTGACATGTCCGAAGTAAAAGACCCATACGGCGTTCCGTTTGACCGACCGCAAGATTTCATTGTATTCAATTATTGGTTGTACCATCGTCAACAATTTGGAGTCGAGAGCATCCCTGTCGTGAATGGCGAGATTGATTTTGGTGCTATCCCTGGGGAACGCATGAACTTCCAACCTAATACAGGTGAACATTGGGATTATGTCGACGATTTTGCTTTGACGAACGCCGACTTCCCCTTTCCACCTGGTATATTGGATGACGACTCCCCACGAAGAGTCCTTGAGCAAATGTGGCTTATTGATAGCGAGCTTATCGACGAACGTCAGGGGAACACACAAGAAACTGTCTACTTCAAAGGTTCCGATTTCGCGTCATACTCGTTTAACAACGACTTCCCTTACAACGGCAGTTTAGAAAGAATACCAACGGAAGAGTTCTTTACTTTCTATGCTTACCACCCGTACGAATATTTGTATGAATTCGCAAAGGCTTATGCCGCAAGATGGGGTGCATCGGTACTTGCCTATACATTGGAACTTTTCAACGTTTACCACGAGTTAAGTGGGCGTTCTTTCGAATTTCCGGTTGACTTTCCGGCATTGAATTTGAAAAACAGGCTACCCATTCAAATCGATGATGTCATCGCAGAATACATGAATAGTCACATTCTAGACCCAATGTACGAAACAGAGAGATCTATGAAGTTGTACCTTGGAATGGCTTACTACAGCCTCATGAGTAGACTTCCATTGAAAGGCACCGACCTCATCGGCCCTGGTACTTTCCCAAGGCTGAGACTGGTTGCTCCAGAGGCCACCCACGAAGGGACTTATACGAGGTCCTGTGGAACCGAGTTTTATACCACGGATGGCTCTTTTCCGCCTTATATCCCAGCTGACATTGACTTTCAAACCAATATGAGAAGTGTTTTGTTCTATCAAGAGAAGTTGAATAATTTGAGTATTGCGAGAACTCAGTTTGGTGGTAACCAGGACACTGGCACAAAGTTCCTATTTCTAACTTGGATGTTCCGCAACAGACCAGCTGATCGTAGTATGCATGATCATCTCATTGGTGACGTTACGTCATACAGCGAAGCTTTTTCCGCTGTAATGCCTTTGACATATTCAAGACCTAATGCGTTTACTGGAGCTACGCCGTTTATATGGGACGATCGCCGACCTTTTTTTGAGTGGCGTGTTAGGGTAAAAAGAGGAGTTGAAGGATTCGACACCCTTCTACCCGATGATTTATTTGATACGTGGACACCTGGCACTCCTATAGTGATGGCGGATTATCCAAACCCAGTGGGACATGTCGAGACCATGTCAACACATATCACAGGTCCTGTTTCTGCGTCATATTACACAAAGTTTCCCGTTCCCGGAGACTTGGACGATACAAATTTGATCCCAGGGGAACCAATCACGATGATGGACTATGTCTATAACTGGATGTACAAAGATTTCGACATTGACCTTCAAAATGCTTCCACACCAGAAGAAGCTGCCTCGCTTTTGACAGTCTCAGATCTACATTCAGAACCTTTTCATAGTGTGTGGGATGCTTCCGATACATTGAAGCTCCTTACATGGTACATGACCAAACGTAAACATCCAGACATGTATCGAATGTGCCCTGGGGAAGTGAACCTGACTCTACCAGACACAAAAACAACCGTTGACGATTATATGAAAACCCTGCGACGCTTGAACAACGCGGAATGGGACTATTTCTTTGGTGCAGCTGACCCTGAAGTATCAAATGAAATGGTATATTTCAGTCATGCCTACAGCAAACTCCCCCTCGAGTTTCCAGACTTAACTGCGATTGACGAGACGGATTTAACCGACAGCAAATTCGACTCCCATGTTAATCACACATCAAAACTTTCTAAGTACTTCCACCAGCGAAGTTTGCTGGTGGCCGAAGCAAAGAAACTTTCCGAAGAACCCCAGACCTCTGCGGGTGTAATAAACGACAACGCAGATCCTACCTTCATGGTTGAACTTCAGAATGCAAAGCATTGGGTATGCAACGACCCCAATATGGGAGAATTCATCCTTTGGTTAAACGGGGAACGATTGAAATTATCAAGGGAACCGCTGATATATCATGCACATTTGACAGCATGCGCTCAACGACACGCCGAGGACATGCTCTATCGTGATTATTTAAGTGTCGAAGCCATAGAACCATCGCCTCATGGTGTCACAACGCAACAACGTAAAGTTGCTAGTTACTGGATGAATACGGCTGTTTCGAATGCAGCAGTAGCAAAAGGCTGGACGCTACAAGAATGTATCGATTTTCTGATTGCTGACGTGGCACAATTCGAAATCTTGATGAGTCCTGAGTTTAAGTATGCAGGACTGGGTTATCAATATACACCACCTTATTCGGAATCTAAATTCTGTGTGAGTCTGGCTGGACCCGTTGTCAACATCGCAATCGAAGGACGAAAATACCTCGATGTACCGGAAATGCCACCATATTGCTCAACAGAAACGGACGAGTTTCTAAGAACCTTATATCCTGAACCTCCATATTTAAAGCCAAAGTCGAGCAAGGCTGGCGAAGGCGATGTAGCTCCGTACTTTTACGGTGGTGATCAAACAATAAACGGGATCATACGAGTAACTTCGAAAAGAGATTGCAACAAATGCTTACACGATTCGTTACTCTATCCATACAAGGATACAATTCTTATTCGCTTCAAAGCGTACGAAAAGGTCACTATGTCGGCAACTTGTCACACCAACAGAGAGTACCAAATGGAGGAAGGGTCAGACTTTGGGAAATTCCAAACGTACAACAAAGGCCCCAATGCCACTAAAATTGCTTCCGCAAGAATTGCTGTCCGGGGCAACCCTGGATTGGCATCGGCCACAAAAATTCGTACTCCAACAACAAAGACACCTGGACACTAAATGTCATCTTATATAGTAAACCCTTTTTGTCGTGTATCGACACAACCAAAGTTAAAAGATGGTAGAATGGACAAATCGATTGGACTTCAAAATAGAATTGTCATTGATATACAGACCGGCGATGCTGTCGGTACCACAGGCTTTGCTGTAAATTACATCGTAATGCAACCTTCACTAAATATTCCCGTTGTAGTTTTCGAACAATCAGGCACCGACGAAAATGCCGTTTTCACTCATAAATATAGCTGTTTCGAGAATGTGTCCAAACTACAAGAACAAGGAAATATCACAATGGCGTACGGACCCGTAAACTGGAGAACCGTGTCACAAGGGCTACGTATCATTCCAATCGACGCAGAGATAAATCTTAGTGGTAGATTTGAATCCACGTCACTTCCCACCACCCTTACACAAACTAATCTCGCCTTCAAAAAAACACCCGAGTCGTTAGCCATACGCGATGGTGTGACTGTCAACGGTTCGTACGTAAAAAGTATGAACGACAACATTGAGAGCTGGAGAGATCAACAAAGTTACAAAACCGGTACACTCTCCGAGCTAGGTTATTTACAATTCCGCCAATTGTCGAATGATGTCGACCATCCAATAATTCATATAAATGAGCAATATGAAGGCGACAACGACACAAATGGTTTCTTACGTCATCTACAAGATGTATCATTCCAAACTCGAATCATTATGATTAAAAGCAAACCACAAACTAGAATATCATTGGTTTCCATTGTCAATTACGAACTACAGTTTGGTTTGTCCAGTGCTGTAAAACCATTCGAGACACAGAACGAAGTCTCTACAATAGCGGAAGCGGCTGAACTCGCTGTAAGACCAAACATGGTCGAGCAAGTTGTGCGTGCTTCAGAAAATGTTAACGGTATACAAAACAGTACTAATAGTACAAACGTGAACAAGAAATGGAAACGTATCTTACGCACCAACACGGACGACGATTACGACATCGACGACATCGTTCGTGCTGGACAAAAGAATAAATCCCGTGGTGATAACGACGACACGACTCGGAGATCACGTCACAAACGTAATTAAATAAAATAATTTTATTGTCATTATCCCGCCTATCTTGTCATTGGTGTGTTTCGAATCACTATCTTTCTTTCAGCTCACAAAATGGTATCGTCAGGAAAGAACCAACAAGCGAGAAATTGGTGTTTTACTCTACCCAATTACTCCGACCATGACATAGAGAAAATAAAAACAATTAAGGATGTTACTTACGCTGTTATAGGTAAAGAAATTTGCCCTCAAACGCAAACCCCACATCTTCAAGGGTTTGTCCAATTCCAGAAAGTCAAACGCCGCAGCCAAGTACAAGCATTAATAAAACAAAACATGAATTGTTCGGTTGCTCGCAGCGTCGAAAACAGTGTCACTTACTGCAAGAAAGACGGTGATTATTTTGAAGTCGGTTCGTACTCGAAGATGAAAACTTCAGGAAAACGTTCCGATCTTGATTTATTTAAAGACGCCGTTCGGAACGGAGAGTTAAGGAGTAAGGTTTTACGCGACCAATTTTCACAAGTCGCGGCTCGCTATCCACGTTTCTTTAATGATTTTATTCACGATAATCAACCACACCGCAAAGTCGACCAACATGGATACCGTCCATGGCAGGCTGAACTAGCTGAACTCTTGGACGGCGAACCAGAAAACCGCAAAATAAACTTCGTTATCGACTTTAACGGTGACACCGGCAAAACCTGGTTTGCTCACCAATATTGCATGAAAGAAGACAACATTGATAATTGTCAGGTCGTGGTTCCTGGTAAGAAAGCAGACATGGCATATAATCTTATCGCTAATCCCCGAGTGGTAATTTTTGATTGCCCGCGATCAAAACAGGGAGATTTCATACAGTATGATTTTCTTGAAGAAGTCAAGAATGGATACGTGTTTTCGTCTAAATACGAATCGCGTATGAAAACATTTAACTCTCCTCACGTTGTAGTCATGATGAATGAATTACCAGACAAGACGAAACTTTCCGAGGATCGATATAATATTATTGAATTAAATCAAGATCTATATGACACTATTAAATTGAATTAATTAACGATCTTTTACGACGCTGCTTTGATTGTTCGCATGCGTTTCTTTTGTTGAATACCCGTTCATGTAGACGGGTACACTTGATGCGATGCCGACATAAATTGTGCCACGTCAGAGTTCGCTCTATAATTGAACTCGTAATTACCATAAAAGTCTATAAGCATATGTGTATGAGCAGATCCCTTAATATCTAGTAGGATCATGTCAAAGGACTTGTCGTAAAATTGGTCTTGCACGGCCGGATCAAAAATATTATTTCTTTTGTCATCGAATTCCCGCCAAGGGTGCGTTTGATCTTCTGTAGCTAGAATGAAGTCTTTCCGGATCAAGTCTTTGATACGACCGGAGCTGAATGAATTGTCATTTGGCCACGACGCGAAACCTGGTACGTCTGGCAAGATTGGAATCATACCTCCGTCAACAAGGACAGATTTGTCGTTGTGACATTGCTTTAGCCTAATAGCTTTCCAATACCCGTCGTTTTGTTCGTCGTTGTTTACTGTCCTGACTTTCATTCCACATGATACCATCCGCCATGATTCCAACGTAGACGGTAGATTAGTGATTGGAATAGCGAAATCTGGATCTGGTACGGCTAGGTCGGGTATAGATATAATAGCTCCTCCTGAAATTGTCATCCCAGTGTTAAGTACGCCTGAACCAAGTGGTCTAGTTGCGGTCCGGATTGTATTTGGATCCAAAGTTGATATTTTATCCCAAATCGGTATGTTAGTAGTACCTGTTGCACTTTTTCAAGGGAAGCCGAAAACCGAAGCGCTTCCCCTCTGGATCTGTCACTACAAGAACAACAACACTAATAGCAACAAACACAACCAATCGGTCATACCTATACCATTACACTACCTTTATTAGCACCATTAGAAGCATTGAAACGAAGCGAAAGGACCTCAGGAAGCCTGTTTTCTTTATCTTGTTGAAGAGTACTGTTTACTATAGGAATCCGCTCAACGTCATCACAGGAAACACACTCCCTTTTCCTCTCTTTATCCTCATTCAAGTCCCTCCAGTCGACAGGATCGATACCTCCTATCACCTGCGCACCTCCCTATCAAGCGATATCAAAGCGGCCTTCTCCGGTCAGATTAGAAAGCCATCCCAATTGAAATCCTACGAGATCGGGCGGGTTTTTTATTCTCGACCGCCGACGGCCAGTTGGAAGAAATTGAACAAAGAAGAAGTCTCCGGCTTTCAGTAGACTCAGCAGTGCAAGTTTCCTCCATACCCTGCAGTGAACTACATTGCTCTTACTACCGACGGCCAAGAAATCCCATTGTCGATCCTCTTTTCGTACGATCGAACGATCTTCTTCCCCAACAACAACAGGCTCCGGTTAACCTTACCCTAGGTAACTGACTCACCAACACCGAATCGAATCGAATCGAATCGAAATTTATCGAATCGAATCCAAGACTCGCTCCTCCGTGAATCGATCGATCTTCCCCGAACGTACCTCCGTACCTTCCGCGACCGTACCTCTTCCTCCGTACGGATCGAACGACAGCCTCTATCATCAAGAAGGACTTCCACGAGATACCTGCAGTGACCACAAAGAAGAGAATTACACCTGTATTCTTACTTTCTCACCGGCCACTAGTGTTTCTCCGACGTCCTTGTTGAACTGATCCTAAGAATTACCACAAGAAGAAGTCTCGGCCTTCCACAGCACAGTAACAGAAAACAACTCCCATACGTGTCATTGTTGCTTTCTGAACTAAGCTCCTGACGGCCGAAGAAATCCCATTGTCGCTCCTCCTTCTCTCGAACGATCCACCAGTCCTATCCCTATACAGACTGAGTGACTGATCGACACCTGCTACTGTTACCACCCCTCCATTGATATCTAACTCCTCCCCAAGAGGAACAACAAACACCAACAGAGTTCCTGTAAGGACTTGAGCTCTTGTATCTCCAGGCCTGGCTGAATTTGCTAGTTCACAGCCCCTCCCTGGGATACCCAGCTCCTCTCCAAAAGGATCTCACCCCCACAAGAACAACTACAAAAGCTGCCCCTCTAGCGTGTTTGCTAGATTGTGCAACACCTCCATTGAAACAGCCACCTCTCTGCTACTGCACCTGCTCTCCTCCTGATGTGGTGCTCCAAAGGATTGAGCCCAGACAGAACTGCAGCGTGGTGTGGCATAATATTAATACATAACTGACTCTATCTCTCTCTCATTGATTGTTGAGTGACTCTCCAGTGACTTTCCACAGTTCCACCTGAATCGAGTACCCTCTCCACATCTTGGCTTGACTCTCTGTGCATGTCTGCCCACAAGATTGAGTACCAGCCTTTGAGACAACACAGTGTCCCCCAGTAACACAGCCCCATCAACCAACAACACCCCTTGATCCCCCACCACTGCCTCTACTGGCTATAGCGTGACTTCTCAGTTTTCCCTGAAAGAATCCCTAACAGCCTTTGGCTCTGATACCATCTTCTCCTCAGGTAGTGGTATACCTGCACCATACTTGGTCACAGCCTTTGA